GCTTATTTTTGGGTTTGTTGTAGGAGGGAGTCGGTACGATAGTTTCTTCAATACAAGCAGTACAGTTCGCTTTTTGATTCAAACACAACACGGTCATCTGGTTATGTCTTCTGAGTACTACAAGCTCCGATCGGGTTGCTGGATTAGGCTGCAAACCCCTGGTTGTAGCCTTGTAGGTTTTTGACATCGCGTAAGGCTGTCAGACGCCCTGCGTTCTCGGCTCCGTTAGGCAGGCAGTTCGCTTCTAGAAGCTATGGTACTTCCGGGATCCGTTAAGGCTGTGCAAAGTGTCTCTTAAGGCTTCCGTGTCTTGCCGGGAATGTGAGACAATATAAGCTGCTTCCGGTGAGCCGCGTAATGATGGCTATTCTAGCGAGGGCGGATATGAGTTTCTGAGTGACGGATATGTCGGTAGAGAGCTGAGCGATCGTCGCTTGAGCTGAGTAGTAGTGTAGTAGCTAGGCAGAGCACTGAAGCCGGTATAGCAGTTGTTCTCTGTATTGAAGTTTGACTTGGTCGTGACATGTGGCGTGTCGCCTTGCAAAGCGCGGTGACAGTGTCTCACGCTCGAGCAGATGTACTCGCGTCGCAAGCCCGTATCCGATGCACCGACTGTCCAGCATCTGCTGATGTCTGACTCTGAGCTCCTCATCAGCCAGACAATCATCAGGCGATCATATTCAACAAGCCCGATACAACCACAGTGAGCACCGAAGGATCCAGCCACAGCCTAGACATACCAGGCAACCCAGAAGGTACACTGTAGGCGTCCGTCCACGTCGTCAGCATTCCCGCATCCATCCACAAGAACATCATCATCTTGCAGCTCCAAACTCAAGCTCACAGCCCCCCAGTCGGGACAGACGGGAAGAGAGAAGGATCCTGTAAACGCTGACGATTCCTTCTAGCCATCTCAGCATTGCGCATCCTGTCAATACGCATCTGATAGAAGTTCCTACATGGATTAGCAATAATCACACATAACACCATACAAGAGCAGAGAGAAATACTTATGCAACGCAAATACCCTCGGCGAGTCATCCGACGAGGTGGTCGATTTCTTGATACTCTCGATCTATGATATGTTAGCGAATACATGTAAAGCCAAACAAGAACATAGAAGATAGAGATATGAAGAGAAGAACAAACCTTGCCATCCCGTTCCTTTTGCATTTTCTTATCCTCCTCATCCCCCTTCTTCGTAGCAGACTTATCATCTTTATCTTTATCATCTTCCTTCTTATCCTTCTCCTTCTCAGCGTCCTTATTCTTCTTCCGCTGCTGCTTCTCCTCATACTCCCTCTTCACCCTCTCAATCTCCTTCGCCATAGCCTCTTCTTTGGCCTTGGCGGCCGCCGCCTCTGTATCGACAATAGGAGAGCAGAAGTGGCGGTCTTGGAGGTGAGAGGGGCAGACGTAGAAGAAGTCCTGGGTTATACTTTAGTCTTTGTGCGATAATAAACTCCATGTTCATATGATAATAAATCATAATCATGCATCTGGGGAGAACTAAACAGAGAAAGAGAAAGTAAAAGGGGCCTCATACCCGATTATCAGGCGTGATTAATACACTACTCGATGGCTTGTAGCAAATGTAACATGCCTTGGCGGCTGTATCTGCTACTCGGCGCAGATGCCAGATGTTTTGGAGGGACATTGACATGGTGTCTATTCTATGTATAGTTGGGTTTTGGAGTGTTTGTTTGTTGAGGAAGTGAAGGTTTGTTGAATAATATTGAATATTGTTGTGTTTTGGTTTGGTTTGGTTTGGCGGGGAATTGATCGATGATGTCATGTGACATGGGTATAGGCTGAATACTAGTAGATGGGCATTGGTTCAATATGGACGATACTGTTGTGTAGCAGGTGTTGTAGCTGAAATATATTGTTGAATAGTATAGGAGTTATACATACTATTGACACACAAGTATGGGATGTCTGAATACGTAAAGGTTCAATCACATTGAACATTAGTGTTGACCTGAATATGTTGACATGACAACTGATATATCACTACTATGATACAGAACGAACCAACTGCAAAATAACTGAAAGTCTACACTATCCACCCAAACTCCATAGCAGTAGTAGTATCTACTCCGTAACACTATCCTTCAATCCTCTCAACGCACTCGGCTCCTTCGACCCATGCAACATAGCCGCCGCATTCTCCGACCGTCTCCTAGCATCCGTCCAGATCATAAACTCATTGTAACTCTTGGGCATGACCTGCACATCCTTCTCCACGAGGAAGGTATAATTGAACATGCCCGTGGGCTTCTTAGTTCCATGCTCCACATCTCTCACCTTCGTGTCCACCCGCACCCGCACCTTCGTGTACTTGCTCTCCACGCCCTCGCGTTCCAGCGGCTCCGTATAAGCCACCGTGGCGCGCAGATACAGCACACTACCCACGGGCACGGAGTTCTCGAACGTGCTAGGGTCCAGGGAGATGAAGTTAGGGCGAGAGTGCGAGAAGGACGCGGCGCAGCAGAAGGCAAGCTCAAAGGTCTGTTTGAGAAGGAAGCCACCGAAGATCATGAAGTTGTGGCGGTTGCGGTCTTGAGGTTGCATGATCATGGCGGATTTGAGCACGGTGTCGCTCATGAAGACGTTGTTGGAGGGTCGTTGGGCGGGGTTTTCGGGGTCTGTTATTCGGTTATTGATGAGTTATATCTTGGATTGATGGGAAGGGCACTTACTGAGATAGGACATTTCCTTTGTCCACATGGAGTGAATGAGGTTACTCTCTTCCGCATCGGGGGCTGTCTCGAGAAGACTCTTGGATCGTAGTGCCTTCTTGGCTTGGTAGTTCTCTTCGCCTTGCTTGAAGAGGAGACGCTCTTCGGCTGTTTCGACCACTAGGGGTGCGATGTTGACGGGCCTGGGATGCCAATGTTAGTACCCAGACGGTTACAGTAGAGTAGCATCGGCTTACTTCTTCGTCGCAGGATCTAACGACACCATCGTAAACGCACAGGTGATGAGCACATCCTCCGGCTCAACCTCCTTTCCCGGAGCTGGAGCCTTGGCCACCTGAATCGAGATCTCCATACTAGAACGACCCGTCGCATACGTGACCTGGCCGCTGAGTTCGAGGTCACAGATCTCCATCAGCGGATGCTCAATGGTAATGCGATCCACGGCCGCCGTGACCGTAGTGACCGAATCACCAGCATGTCTGTAGGCAATGACACCCGCCAGCGCATCGAGGTCCATAAGCAGGGACCCCAATCTGCAGTCAAATCAGTAAATTATCACCGCCAAAAATAGATATCAGAGACACTAACCTGATATGTCCTGAAGCATTAAGATACGTATCAAGCAGCCATTTATCCTGAGCCAGAGGCAGAACCTAGACTCAAACACATCAATCAGCTAAATCCACACCCCTCAAAGGCCAGCAAGTGCACCTACGGCGCTATAATAACTATCCGACATCTTCTTCGGCGTCAGATCAGGTTTCGCCGAGGGCGCAGCAGTAGCCCCCTGACTAGACTTTGCAGTCTCGCGACTTTTCGTGAGTGCCTCAATCCAAGGAGTCTTAACCCTCATAGGCATCCAAGTAGGTCGGAACGCGGCATTGTGTTGACTGGGGTGAAAGTCGCGGGCTGAGAGCAGAGATCGGTGCGCAGGTGAGCGGACACTGCTACTTAAGCTGGTCGGGGTGTTGGTAAGACATTTGGAGCGCGACGCGGCGGAGCGTCTTGTACTTAAGCCGAACATGGTGGTTTAATCCTAGAATGTATTGGATTTATGAATATAGTGTATAGTTGCAAAAGTAAAAGAAGAGACAAGTATGGATCAAGATGATGTGTCGAACACGAAGATGAACTCTCGGCTTCGGTAGTTGAAGCGGATCTCCCGACGGCTGTTCCGGCTCCGGCTTCAATGGCCGGAGCAAGTCGGTAACGCGAGAAAGTATATTTCCCTGGCTGACATGGCGGGACCGGTATGGAATAAGTGAGCCATTGAGTTATATTTACATGTTAAACATATGAACTGGAGGTAGGGTGATTCTTCAACCCCGTGAAAAGATATAAGGGTGAAGTGAAGTAGAGAATGAATCGTGATGATCCCGACTACTGTGCAATGACATCATCGCCGCTGCTCTCCTCCGATATCGACCATCTCATGCACTAAAAGGGGCCATTAACAGGAGCAACTATGCCCCCCTGAAGAGGGAGCTACTCTGTACCTGAGCTCCGGTGTGACCAAGAGAGGGAGAGGGACTGCGAGTCAGGCAGAAGTTGATCTTCAGGCCAATTTGCTGGATGGCCTCAGGAACCAATTTGGTTTCTCGCCCGAGAGCTGCGTCAAGGTGAAGTCATTCCAAGTATAAATTGGACTTCTTACTTTGTATATCTGTTGTGGTTTTCTTTTTTTCCGTAGTATTGCATTGTAAGATATCTTTTGTATATTTCTGCAATTCGTCTAAGATAAAATCTCCATATAGATAGCATCTGTCTATACTTCAATCGTCTCTACACAACTGCAAGAAACATTGTTTCTATACTTCAACCATGAGTGACCCAACCAACCCCAACATTGAGAAGCGAACAACCCCCCAATGGGCTCTGTACCAGCGTGAGAACTTCTGGAAAGTAAACGATGGCCAAACAGTCCCGTTCAACACAGGTACACACCACTTCCACATCCCTACTCCATCCCACCTTGCTTGCTCGCTGACAAGACTATCTGTGCAACAGACCCCAGAAAGCTCGAAGAGGAGGCGCACAAGAAGCTAAGCCAAGGGGGCTGGTATGCATCTGACCCCCTCCATTAGAATACCCATCTCATTAACCCATCCAGGTTCTATGCATCCTCCAACGCAGGCATGTCCAACACCCACCTCGCCAACCGGCAAGCCTTCTTCCGTCATCGGATCATCCCCAACCAACTAGTAGACACCAACCAGCGAGACACCACCACCGAAATCTTCGGCCACAAAGTATCCGCGCCAATCGGCTTCGCGCCCATCGGGATCAACAAGATCTACCACCCATCCGCCGAGCTTGCAGTAGCCAAAGTGGCCGGCGAACTCAACCTCCCCTATTGTCTCTCCACAGCAGGGAGCACTCCCATCGAGAAAGTCGGCGAAGCCAACGGCCAAGGCAACCCCCGTTTCTTCCAGCTATACATGCCACATGATGACGAGCTGACCTTGTCCCTGCTCAACCGGGCCTGGAAGTCCGGGTTCGATGCACTGATTCTCACAACTGATACCTGGCAATTGGGCTGGCGGCATGACGATGTCGCCAACTCCAATTATGCCTTTTACCGCGGCATCGGGGCGGACCTTGGCTTGACGGATCCGGTGTTCCAGAAACGGTGTCGCGAGGCGGGCATTGACCCGGAGAAGGATGTGGTGGCTGCATCGGCCAAGTGGATTGATTCCGTCTGGCATGGGCGTGCTTGGTCGTGGGAGAAGATCCCCTGGTTGATTGAACGGTGGAAGGAGATTTCTGGGGGTCGGCCGTTCGCTATCAAGGGGATCCAGTCTGTGGCGGATGCGAAGAAGTGCGTTGAGTATGGGGTTGATGGGATTGTGGTGAGCAATCATGCGGGTAGACAGGTGGACGGTGCTATTGCGAGTCTTGATGCGTTGGAGAATATTGCCAATGCGGTCGGTGATCAGATTTACATCATGTTTGATTCTGGTGTTCGTGGAGGCAGTGATGTCGCTAAGGCGCTGGCTCTGGGAGCTCGCTTTGTTTTCGTCGGTCGGCTCTGGATCTGGGGTCTTAGTATCATGGGTGAGGAGGGCGTTCGCCATGTGATGAAGTCGCTGTTGGCCGATTTCGATATCTTGATGGCTGTTGGCGGGTACAATAGCGTTAAGGACTTCGATAAGTCCATACTAGGTAAGGGGTTCAGGATGATTCCTTGAGATGAAAGCTAATGGTGTTGTCAGAATCGTACCCGAAGTCATACGCACTCATCCCGGACAAGGTTCTTTAAAATTCCCGATAGTGGATGGCGGATGCAATGTTCTATACCATTTCGTTTAGATAGGGGTTATCGCGAGCTAGCACTGGTGAAGTAAGAATGAAAGTTGATTGATTAGAGAAGGACTTCGAATGTAAGGTAATATGATCCGCACGCTGTCCAAGCTCTAGAAAATATGCAGATACAAATCAGCAGCAAGTGTAAATATTGCACACGTTCCCCGAGTTCAGACGTCAAGTGGATGCGAAAGCCTTTCCCCAAAGCTAACTAGAGCCAAAGCATGAGAGAAGCAATCGCCAAAGCAGAGAAGAAATGCTGAGGAGCGGGCATAGTCATTCCACTTCCCGATTCAGCATCCGAAGAACTACTAGAGCTAGCAGAGCTCGTTGTAGTCGTTGAGCTGCCCGTTGTTGTGGATCCCGAGGTACTGCTTGTTCCAGAGCTCGTAGAGTTCGACGTAGAGCTGCTGTTCGAGGATCGCTCTGCAAATCCGACCCGTAACTCATCGTAGTCAAACACGGCATACACATTCTTGAGGAAGGTGTCGCCCAGGAGCCAAATGTCATCGCCGAAAAGGTCATAGCTGATAATGTTCGAAACGCATCCAGAACCAGAGGTTGCTCCCACGTAGTCCTTTGGCGAGATGGTGTAATTCACACCAGAGAATTGCACTTGTAGCTTAGCGGTTGTGTTGCACGGGATAATGTGGTAGTTCCCAGAAGAAGTGGCGTCAGGAATCAGACTGTGCAGCGTCTTCGAGTCGCTCGAAGGAAGCATAGCGTAAGACGTTCCGGTATCAATGATGGCAGACTTGTTGGAGAAATCGCATGAAGTGCCGCTAACATAGACATCGTCCACGGGAATGCGCCAATAGCTGTCCGACCCGACGGTATCGGTGTAAGTGATATCGCCAGTGTACTTGTCCTTGTCAGTAGTGCCAAAGCTGACGGTGCCGTCTTTGGCGGGGCTACGGGAAAGGGCAAATCCAACGATGTTCGACTTGAAGACGTTAGTCTCTGCAACAGCATCCATGAATGTTGGGTTATTGTAGGAACTATCGTTGGTTCGACCGAGACCGAGAATGCCGTCCATGGGGTACGACTCGAAGTTATCCGAAGCGTTGGAAGCAAGCCCGAAAGTCATCTGTACAGTTACATTCGCAATCGTGAGCTTGTCTTTGCCTAGCAGGCCGCTGACAGACCCGGTTCCGTAGCCCACACTCCACTCTTCAGATGTCATTTCAAGCGTCGAGGAATCGTCCGATCCGAAGGTGTTGTGCATCGTGCAGGGCGTGGACGTGCAGTTGGTACCGAAGACCCATGTATCAGAGCCTCCTGTGTCGAGCAACATGTACATAGATTTCTCATCGGATCCAACATTGACAACAGAGATGTATGATATGTCGCTACCATCTTGATCGAGAGCGGCGGTGTTGGACCAGGAGGGAGTTTCGGCTACCACAATCTTGAAATCATTGTCACGGCGAACTGGAACCCTTTTGATGTTCAGCGATAGGGACTCATCGCTGGAAGATGAAGTGGAGTCGTCTGTCAGAGCATCGCTCGGTTTTGGCACAGGCAGAAAACGTCGAGATAATGAGTCACGAGCTGAGATGTCATCCGATGTATCGAGTTCGATGGTGTATGGGATGAAAGCCGTGGCACTGGCGCAAAGATACGCTGCTGTAACAAGACGCTGTGAGAGATGCATAATTTAGAACAAGCAAGAAAAAGATGCAAGCGAGGAATGTATCGCAATTGTCTGATGCAGACGATGAGGTGCTGGACGCTCCTATTCCAGCCAGATCAGGTGGTACAAATGTATGATGATAAGAGTAGAATTCAGTTTAAAACAGATTGAGAGTAATATTTCATAGATGGAGTCAATGGCAGAATGACACAATCAAAGACAATGCTCTAGAAATATCAACGATAGATTGCTAGTGAAAAAAGCACAAGTCAAGATAAAAAGAGATGATCAAAAGATAAAGTGCTACAAAACGAATGCTGAACAAAGAGCGTGAATAGGAAGAAACGAGGCGAGGAAAAGAAGAAGTAATCAGAAAAAGTTATTTGTTAATGTCGAGACAAAGAAGAAAATCAAGAGAATGAACACGGAAATGAAGGAAGAAAAAAAAAAGAAATAACACGCAAGTGCTGTTCATGCAGTTAAGAATTAAGATGCAGCCTCCAGGAGAATTCACACTCAGGCACAGAATGATTATGCTTACATCGTGGGGAGACCCAAAGCCTAAACGGCCCACTCGGCAGGTTTTCGCGGCGCAACGGACGCCTGCGACTGGCTGCTGCCAATGATCCAGGCCTCGATCTACAGGCCCTTTTTTGGCGGCGGTGGAGCCCAGGCAAGACCGATCATGTTTTTCCCCTGAGCACAGTTGTGAAAGACGTACAGGCAGAAATGAGTCCGTGAAACATCAATTTTCCATTCTTAGTATCATACCCTCCTACTATCGGTTTTTAGCAGTGATAGATTAGATATCCGGTGCCCTTGGCGGAGAATACCATACATATATAGCACAGACTACCTACATACCTACCTAAGAGTTCAGAGACATTCCCTAGGAGGCAGTAATTTCGCCAGCTAATCTTATAAAAAGCTCTCCTTAATATCCAAATTGAAAACGAAAAAGGCCTGTTCATTTCGCATCTTACCTAAGAGGGGTTGGCCACCTGGTTATGTGCGGTGTCCAGAACATGCACCAACCATTGCGATGACGACTCCTGCGCCACTGAGGGGGCATCGTAGTCGACAAACTCTCATCATCAGCCCCCTCCAACTGTAGCTTGGCATTTTAGTGGATCCGTAGGGCGTCGCATTGCAGCTGCAATAAGCCAACGACCGTCGAAATTGACCCCGTAGTCAGTTGGCTGGGAGCGAACAACCAAATATGACGAGTCATCTGAAAACACCCATTGGTAAATTGGTAGCAGGTTTTCTAACTATTCCAGGCACCTAAATTGCTGAGATGACGAGGACCGATAAAGCTTGGTATATTCCCAGGCATCCATCGCTTCTCCCAATGGAACTGTTTGAAGGGAAAATATCACGTAGGTGTTCGTGGGCTGATACATCTGAGACACTACCGTCATCGAACGACTAATATGAAGAATGTTGGTGCATAATGCCGGAGTTCTGCAATGCCGGGGTTCCGTGCTCGCTGTTCGTTTAAGTTGACAGCCACACCACCCATGGATTCCATCACCGCGAAGGTCGGTAGACGATCGACCCCGCAAATTATATCCAGGGAATGAGAGACGACAGCATATTCATTGTCGGTCAACGAGTAGCAAGTACAGAGAATAGCAAGAAGAAGAAAAGAAAAAGGCGGGGGGTGTTCGAGGAAAAGCAAAGAGGTTCCGCAATTTCCAGCGAGACTAAACATGAAACAACTCAGCATAGCCGAGGCAGCCACTGTGACCGGGCTAGACCAGTCTAAGCTCTGTCAATTACAACAGTGAAATGAAAGCACCATAAGAGGCTTAACAATCATTATTTGTGCTGAAGCACTATTCCCGAAATAAACACAATGAAGGTTAATGTCCCTTGCATTGTGTACTCTTAAGAGGTACGACCCTCAAATCAGCAGCAGCGGGTTTGCCCGAATCTAAATCCGTCCCCGGACATCTTCTCCCCTGACACACCCGCCGCACCCGAAAGTCAGGAACAATAACCATCCAGACATGCATCCGAAGAGAGCAGGTCAACTCCTGCAAGTAGGAACCTCGCTACTTCAATATGCGGTAACTATTACCTTCTATCATGATGTAAGACCTCAATGGCCTAACAAAACGCCTTGAGTGATATTCACATGAGCCACTCCCAACGGTTTGAGGTCGGAACATATCGGGGGCCAATCCATCAGCCCACGACGGTTTTACTGATTGACTTTACCCATTTCCGGGTCCCCGGGAACGGCTTTTACCTAGGTTAGATCGGAGTGATGATAATTTTGCCCTGCTCCGATCTGATAAGCCTTATTTCCCCGGCGTGCACAAGGTGCGCCCTAGCATGCATGGTCCGAATTATACCTAGGTTAAGCCGCTCAACCGGATGAGCTGACTGATCGTGCTTTACCCGATGGTCCACTTCTTCCATCATCCGGGGCATGTGGTCGTGTGCTATTACCGGTCTATACCAGGTGGGTTACATGAGGACTTGCTATTACGGGGGTTAGACTGTAGTGTGTATCCTTGGAAGAACCAGAATGGATTTGATAGGATCCTTTGACAGAGGATCATCACTATGTTTCAATCCCGAAAGACATTGACAAAAGGACGGCAATAAGGGCCCTTGAAAGAGTAACCATCACACATCGCTAGAAACGAGACAGAAGACATAATCAAACATGAAAGCAGCATCAATGTTTCTGAGCGTGCTGCTGTTTGGAACCTAAAAGATCTTCCAAGAACCCACTCCACAATTCCCGGACGACACCTGGTTCGGAGGCACCGTTCTGTTGCTTCTTCAGCTCCTCGCCGAATCTGGACTTCCCAACCGTCTCGGTTAGGGAGAAGGGATCAATGTCCACGGAGTGGTTGTCAACAACCTCGGTCATGGGACTTGCGGAGATGTCACCAGCACCCCCGGACACGGTGTAAACCTGGGGCCTCATGGGGGCCTCTTGCGACTGGGTCGGGTCATAGTGGGTATAGATGTCGGAAAGGATCGGGATTTGCGGATCGGCACGAGCAGCAGGTGCATCGATCTCTGCCATAGAAGGCATGTACGCGAAGTCAACGGTGGATGAGTCACCGACGGCCTTGCTAGAACGGGAAGTGTTGAATTGGCGGCCATGGTTCTTTCTGTATTGAGCAAGAATGTTAGTTCCGAACTGGCTTTACCCGAGGTAACGGGCTGTCATGATGATCAGATCTACATACTCAGCGTTAGAGCTGCCGTTGATCCTCTTCATAGCGATGCTGAAGGCACGGGATTGAAGGAAATCATGGTTGGAGAGGCGTTCGACAAGCTAAGCGACGCAGATAATGGTTAGCCATAACTGTGGTTTGACCAGGAGTGTAGATGTCATAGATAGCATACCTCAGACTGGGAGCCACTAGATCTCAAGGACCGCTTCACACATTCAGTCTTCAGATCAGCCAGAGTGCGGCTGGCATACAGGGAAGCCCTGTCCGAGACATTGGCGGGTTGTGCAGACTGGGCGCCGGTGATGTGCAAGCCCCGACGGATGGATGGGGTGGTAGAGTGCTGCTGAGAGAGCACGCGGAGAGCGCGCAAAGAACTGGAACGAGGAGCTGCCATTGGAGATGTGATGGGAGGTAGAATGAGGAAGAGTTGAGCTCGTTGATATGTGCGGGTTTGGTTGAGGGGAACAAATATAATGGTCTGGGCAAATAGTTGAGCTCAAGAATGTAGAGCTAAGTATTTGATAGGGAGGAGTCAACAATTCAAGCAAGTACTGTAGATGGAAGTGACCGGCTATGTACAGCGGAGGGGGAGTCGAAGGGAGTTTAGGCACCAGAGATAAAGTAATGGAATGTGGGAGAGAAGGAGAAGGAAGAAAGAAGGAAGCCAGACGGGGGAAGCAGGCCGTACTTGAAGGACAGGCGGACAAGCGTACAGGCGTTACTTTGCAGGAACCAGTTGGGGGAGTGATGAGCAAGCAACCTTGCCTTATCCACACGCTCCCTGCTGGGGTGGACACTCACTGGGGCCGGCGGTCTGGCCAAGTCTGCCGGCTGTTAATAGTAGAATGGAACCACTTGGTCCCGACCGAATAGATCGATCGATATGATCCTCCAACACCCCCAAACAGGTAATTCTGCCCTTCGGACTCTTCCTCTGATCGGCTTTTGTCTAAAAAATGATCGCCTGATTATTTGTTTTCCATGAGTTGGCCATTCCCCCTATTATCCGGTTTCATTACGAATCTGATTCGAACAGAAAATCATCTCGTCCAAGGTAAAATAAATGGAAATGATAGTCATTTTGCTCGTGAGGGGTAGAAAGATGTGTCAACCACGGTAACAGGTACGAATGACCCGTCCCCCCAGCTCTCCCAGATCATGATATCCGCCATTTTATTCAGGCTGTCTGCAGCCCATACAGAGAGGTTACTTTTACCATCTGGTGCCAATACGGATGGGCTGGGACTCTCCAATCGCAGCCTGCATAATCACCGGCGCCATCATGCAGACTGGTGGTCGGAGCAGCCAATGAACTGAACATTACGGACATTTCTATTACTACTCGGTACACCGGAGTCGCTGGTCAGTCGCTGATCGAGGGGCATTGGAAACACGCATTGGCCTGGCACTGTCTGGGATATGCCGTTCCTCGAATGGCAGATAGATTAGCTTCCCCTCATCGCAGTCGCATTATCCTTCCCCTCCTCCTCTGCAGCAGCGGTACATCATCCATGAAGGTGCGCCGTAAATATATCATCGAGCATTATTATCTAGCGCGATGCGCGAGAGGGGCAGGAGATGATCCCTTCTTTTCTTGAAGGGTGCTACATATCTGTCGTGGTTTTTCTTCTTCTATGCCTGCTAGACTGATAGGTAGTCTCCCGCTCATCACTGGCAATCGGAGTTGGTGAAACTCTGCGACTGTCCCGTATTACATCAACCACTTTTGAGTTTATTCCACCATCCGGACTGAGTTTCCCACTTTTAAACCTGAAGATAGTCTTTCAATTTTATCCTCATCAACAAGATACTCGAAATCGAATCCTGTACAAGAGAGTGTTATGACAGGAACAACAACTCAAAACGTAAACTGTTGCTCTGTACGTGGTTCCCTAAAGCAGTAGTCCATCCACCTGCGGCGACACCTTCTATCTCCGTCCGTCACAACCTGCTGGAGCTCGGCGGCCGTGACGCAATGAAGAAACAACCAACGACATTCGAGAAGCTTACTAGCGCCAACGGGATTAAACCAGCCAATACCGTACTTTACTATGCCTCTTACCGAGAGGGATGCGTGTACAGACCCAACAACCATCCCTCATCCAACCTGCCAGGTAGGTCGATCTTGAATCGGGTGATTCTAAGTGGAAACGATGATTGGCAGGATGGATGGGACGATGGATGCTTACTTCACAAAGCTGTACTGTGTAGCATGATGCGACGCTCAAGGCTGGAGATGACTGGCTCGGGGAGTGCCTACTCCCCTCAACAGTTGAGGAGCGGTGAAGTGGAGACGGACGGGATGGGGCACGTGAGGTCGATCTGGCTTGCCCGGCAGCTTCCCCGTGGATCCTTCCCCCCGACTAAAATTAAGGTACTCTGATTTACGCCGTAGTCCCCATACCCTACGGAGTCCCCTTTCACCTCCAGCCCTTCCGCAACGAGATACTCTGATATACGCCGTAGTCTACATCCTCTACGGGGTTACTCTTCCCCCCATCTCATTTCAGCCCCTGATCCTGCTCGAACTCGACAAACGCAGAGTCAGCCACCATGACTTGTTGGTGCTTTGCAACGGCAAAGTAAAATTATGGGACTTGTTTCGGTGACTGCCGTATCCTCCGCAGGATTCCGGCGGTTCCCTCCATCTGCCATTCTATTTCTTGCCCGTCTGAATGTCGTACTTCATGCATCAACTGATGAGATCCTTCTATGGCCTTTCCTTTTTTGGATTCCGGAGAAGCACATTTCTAACTTGACTAGATACACGTTAATAAGTGCTTATCAGCCCCTTCCCGTTTGCTGATTGCATCGACCCAGCTAAGCCATGTAGTCATCGGAGTTAGAACGTGCAGGTACGATAATCAACTGAAAAGTATGACCCCTCCACTACGACTTGGCTGTCGCGTCTTGGAGCTTTGATCAAAGTATGGCAGGGATTCCAAGAAATCAAGGCTTCAGCCAGCCCCGCATTAGTCTGTTTTCATATGCATCTGCATTGATAACCCCTCCAAGCATGTGAATCGTTTCCATCGTCTCTTACAGGGTCCCTAACGCGGTAGTTACCTTGCGGATCCTACAGCTCTCCCTGCCCAGGCATACACATTTTTAGTTACTGACCTACCCTATTCGTTTAATGGTATATACATCCCTTGCGTGCATAACATAGCATGGACCCGTTAGGTAAATGGCAGCTCTTTGCCGTTCCCTCTTCTTGATAGCTGAAAAAGCACGCCATCATCTGGATCCACGCAAGTGTCGTCCGGCCACTTCCACGTATCCGAAGTTCATATCTCTTTAGTAGCGCTGACTATCTATGAACTCATGGTTGGACACCGATCAATGTGACATTCTGGTTGCTATCTAGCATGTCCCTCCTTATCCAGGGACTGATACGACGAGTGCTATCAATGAAGCATGAACCATGCGACTAGTCGACTGTCTATGGCTAGCTTACCTTGCGCGTGCCACTGGAAGCCTGTCCCGACGAGTAGTGACCGTTTTACGATCTATTCTTATGTATTTCGGAGAATATTGATCCTACGTGTATACTCGGACTACGAGATACCTCGACATACCATCACCTTGAATCAACCTTCTATCTTTAACTCTGGAACGCACCTCCAGGGCATTCAAGCCCAAAATACGGCAAAGACATGCCTAACCTATACAGCTGTATACCGCAAGGCTACACAGTCGTAAAATTCATCAACCACATGGCCCAAATAAACTTCACAGAACAAAAGCATCATGCAACTTCCTACCGAAGTGTAAGTAAGCCACGAGTCACAAACATGATCTTCATCGCACGACGCACCAACAAGCACCCACGACGGGTCCAGCATCCAAACTAACCTACTAAAAGCTTGGGTTACTTCCTTATCTCCTATCTGCCTATCCACTACCCACCGGGGAAACCAGACCCTTCTCCGACGGTGGGCCGGCCATCCATAGTTACATAACTAATATGAATAATACACCCTGACATAATCAATTCAACTCACAACCACAGCCACAACAAATTCGATTGTGATCGATGACTGTGGCTGTTCCCAAGCCATAATCATCCCCAGAATTTCAGGCACCGCAACCGCATTCCTGTGAGTCAGTCAGGCATTGGTACTTTTACCTATCTAGCTTACTATTATTCTATTTTATCCATTCTGTCCCACTTTCTGCTCTTTCTTGCCCCTCCCCCTCACTCGCCCTTGTAAGGCTGTGTGTGTGTGTTTCCATCTAGGAGGGAACTTTTTTTTTATTTTCTCCCAACTAAAACGCATACTGATGCAACGGGCTACTACTGGTGTAGGGTATCTCGTGAGACAGTTTGGTACTACTGCTACTACTACCAATAGTAATAATCTGAGGGGTCGTTGTTGTCGTCGCTCTAGATCACTACTACTAGGTATGTTGTGGAGATCCCAGGCTATATAGGTTCTGTGGGGGTGGGGGTGCTCCCTCTCCTGCTTTTTATTCTCGCGACTTGTGGAGGGTACTAGTGGGGTAAGAAGGGTTATGACTGACTCATTTGCTTTTTTCTTGAAAAAATTTAGTGTCTTTGGATTCTAGTATTAGTACTGGTACTATTACTAGATTTGCTGGGGTGGCGTTGCATCGTCAGCGTGCTTCTTATTCTTCTTGTTCTATATTAAGCAAAAGAAGCTTTTCTACTACTACTTCGCTTCATTATAGTCAGGGATACCTGGCTAAGAGTACGGTCAAGATGGGTGATTCTGAGGCTGTTCCTGCTGCTGCCACTGCTACTACTAGTAAACCTATCAGATATGTTGATGTAGGTAGACATTCACTGCCCCCTTGAAACCCTCGCTGTTCGTTGCCATAGTAGCTAATAGAGAGACTCTAGATTGGAATCAACCTGAGTGATCCCGTATTCTCGGGTAGTTACCATGGCAAACAGGTTCACGACAGTGACCTGGACGACATTGTACAACGTGCAAAGGACATCGGGTGCCAGAAGTTCATGGTGACTGGCTCTGACCTGGAGGAGTCTCGGCGCGCACTCCAACTTGCACATGACTACCGTACGTTTGTTATCGCCTCCCTCAGACAGCAATGATTTCGTCTGACTCTACTTCCCTTGCAGCTGGATTTTGCTATGCAACTGTTGGTGTCCACCCTTGTCAGGCGAAGATGTTCGATGAGTACCCCGGTGGACCTTCCAAAATGCTCGAAGAGCTCCGGACGCTCGCATTGCAGTCGAAAGAGAATGGACAGGCTGTCGCGTTCGGTGAAATCGGCCTGGATTATGATCGCTTGTTTTTGAGTGCGAAAGAACCTCAGCTGAAGTACTTTGAAGCCCAGTTGGATCTTGCTGTGGAGATCCAACTCCCTCTTTTCCTTCATTCTCGCGCTGCTAGTGAGGATTTTGAGAGATTGTTGGGGCCGCGACTTGCCAAGCTCCCCAAGAGAGGACTTGTGCATAGTTTTACAGGGACTCTGGAAGAGATGGAGCGGATGGTTGCTCTTGGGCTTGATATCGGCGTGAACGGTTGCAGTCTGAAGACAGAGGAGAATCTCGAGGTGGTGAAGGCTATCCCGCTAGAGAGACTCCAGATTGAAACAGATGGCCCTTGGGTATGCCTCACCTTCCTGTCATTTCATTCGTATCTTTACTGACTTTGACCTATAGTGCGAAATTCGTCCTTCCCATGCCTCGTCTAAATACCTCAAGGGTGCGCCGGAGTTGCCAAAGGCTGTCAAGAAGGAGAAGTGGCAGAAGGGTCTCATGGTCAAGGGTCGCAATGAGCCTGCCGCGATAGCCCATGTCGCCTACGTCATCGCCCAGATCAAGGGGATAACGGTGGAAGAGGTCTGCGAAGCGTGAGTATTTCCTCATTCCACGGCAATAGCCTGAATATGTCGCTGAATCATCTCATTCTAGTGCTTGGAATAACTCGATCAAAATGTTTGGGCTTGGGGAAGATGCATGATTATAATGCTGCATCTAGAATATATTATTAGGCCCTTCGTTTACAAAGCTTTCACTAACCTCGCATAGCCCCTCCATGAATTCCGGCTACCCGCTGAAGAAAAATTCACTTGTCTTTTGATTATTATAGAGATAGATGATGATGATGGAAAAAAAAAAAAAATAACCCTTTAATGATGTTATGTTGGTGCTTTTTTTGAAGTCGCGCCCGACCACCGATCCGTTTCTAGACGCTGAGTCAGTCGGCCCCAACCATGGATCCTCACAACGGCTAGACTCTGCTCCTTGTCAACTGCTGCTGCTGCTGAAACGCAAATTCTATACTGCATTCTCCCACTCCCCTCTGTTTATTCTGTCATGAAGAACGAGAAGCAAAACTGTCGTCAGCCCTTCTGGTAGGTGCTTCCAGGAAGTAACCAACGTGAGTAGCTATCTGGCTTTGCTCTGCCACGAGACGCTCGCAGGGGTTCCTTCTTGCTTCACTTGAGAGCTGCACCTACGAGGTGCGCCGCACGTGTCTGTTCCTGCTTAAGCATTTGTGCTCGCGTGAGGCCTGACGGCAGAAGCTAGCTCGCTTTCTATTGACCTTCTTTTACATCAGCTCACCGCCCATACCTGTCCCAGCTCCATACTACTCAGACCTCAACTTTTATTCCGCCCTAGGTCGTGCGTTGGCTATCGAAGATCCCCTTGAAATCTATTTCATCATCGCAAAAAGACGGATCTTCTATCATCGTCATTATGTCTCCTAGTCGGATCTTTTCCGTTTGAGGCTTGCGAGTCAGCCTTACTCGTGTCTCACAAGCTTTCCTTTTGCGCATAATCCCTTTCTTCCCAAGGCAGTTTCCGGTTATTGAGCTTGAGGCTGGTTCTTCTTGCTCCTGGTGGTCTTCATAGTTACCCCCCTACTCCCCCCCTTTCTCTTAAATTCGAAGTTGCGAGACCTCTGAGACTTGCTACTTCTCTACGGAGGTGTTGAGTCATACAGCCGCTGGGTGTCCGGATCACCAGGATACCAGTATGGCCTGTCCGTTGACCGAGAAGAATTCAAACAGCTCTCTTAAGAGTACCAATGGTAAGTGATTAGTTCGCTGACAGTGAACATATTGGGCTTTCCTGATCTCTCTATTATCGTCTGTTGCGTACAGTAGCTAATCAACGTTCTAGATATAGCTCGTCATAAAGCCTCCTCTGTGGAGTCTGAGTCTGTACAGTCAGAGCTACCAGTTAATTTTGGAGAGGTCGTGAAAGGGATATATCGCTCTTCCTTTCCCTACCCCTGGAATCTTGCAGCACTCAAGAAGCTGGGACTGAAGACCATAATGTACGTGTCTCTGCGAGCTTGCACATCCATGACATTTAACTAACAAGACCATAGAACACTGGTTGATGAACCATACCCCCCAAGCCATGTGATGTTCGTCAAGGAGAACGGCATTGCACATCATCGCATTTTGGTTCAGGCAAACAAGGACCCTAATGTTAAGATACCTGACTCTGTCATGTGTCGAATCCTCGAGCTTTTGCTCGATAAAACCAATCATCCTGTTCTCGTCCATTGCAACAAGGGAAAGGTAAGCACTGGTTTTCTTTCTGACTTCAATGTGTAACTAACATTCTTCATAGCATCGTACCGGATGCGTGGTTGCCTGTTTTCGCAAACTTCAAGGCTGGGATTCATGCGACGTCATTGACGAATACCTTCGATATGCCTTTCCAAAACCGAGATTACTCGATGAAAACTACATCGACCGATTTGACCCATCCCAACTTCATCAACTTGCTCAGTCTTCCGGTGTCAAGACGTGGCAATCATCTGGGCTCTTCAAGATGCCACCGGAAGAACAGGACAGAGACAAGGATTCCCCAAATTGCCACGTCCCTCCATCCCTTTAAAGAGGCCCATGCGGTTCTATGACTCACATCATAGATATGACCAGACCTCCACCCTCCGACTTTCCATTGGTCAAACGACCTCCATCCTGACAATCCGATACTCCTAGTGGCGGCTCTTTCGGCCACCTGTCCCTTATCAAAGGACAGTAGGAATGATCGGTTTAGGACACCATACTACCTCGTTCCTATTAGAACTACTCCCTAACTATTTCTTTCCTGAACTAAAAAAGCATAAAATACTTGTCGACGGCTGGATCGTGTTAAAGAAGACTCCATGCTGTGTCGGAGGGATTTTCATTTTTGCTATACTCTCTTATTTTATACCCCCCAAATGCCTCAAAATAGACTGGTTCCTGGTACTTGTTGTCACTCCGTCACTAGTGTACTATTTATTGTGGGAGTAGATTGGTGATTTTCAGTCTTCAATAGGGCGTACGTGTCAAGAGAAAGACACGGGAAGACAAAAGGTCATTTTGTTATGGCTAATGTGTATTTTAGACAATCGTCCTACTAAACTCGAGGTCTTTCAAGAGATCTATAATCCCGTTAGGTTTAGGATTGTTTTATAGTTTTGAAGTGCTAGAAATAAGTTAGTCGAATAAGTCAGGAGAAACTCGATTTTCTCCGGCTATTGCTATCAATTATAATCCTTGATAAGATATGATAATAATATAGTACCTACTGTATATACTAGTAACATGCCATCTCCGACAAAGATAGTAGTATCTTGACAACATTGAGATACCATGATGCTCAAAAACTACTGCAGAGCATATCGTCGTCATCGTGGTCGTCTCCAAATCCTTCAAATTCTACCATATCATCTGAAAACAGCGTGGGAATTATATCATCTTCACTGAATCCATTAGACATTATATCATCTTGAGAGAACGGCAGTGACCCGCATGATGAAGAAGGTGCAGCAGCAGTAGTAGTCGATAGCATCGCACAGCTACTACTTTCATCGGGCTCACTGAACCCAAGTAGCTCTTCTTCTCCATCGGAAGAATATCCTGGTTCTCCATACATCCGTTCTTCGACTGGCGACGGCTGGTCCTCGCATTGAGGGTTGGGTGGTGGGGCCTGAAAGCGCAGTTTCCGGGATGCTTGTGGCTTGTAGAGCTGTTTCTGGGCGATGCGGAAGAGGGATGCACTTATGGTATTTCTGATACTGTTTGTGTCTATGTTTGCCCCAGTGGGGTGAAGCGTGTTTCCATTGTTTAGCTTGCCTAGTTTGGATTGAAGGGATTGGTGGTTGGGGAGCTTGAGTATGGAAGAAAGTGATTTTGTGATTGAGGGGATTAGGGTTGATCGTTGACTCATTTCCTAGTGGTGGGGTGAGTTACTCGTACTCGTTGTGGTATTGATGGGCCTTACCCTGTGGTAGTTCGGGTTGAAGACCGAGGGTGCAAGTTGTGAAAGAGGTTGTCGCTTCTTGCTTTGGAGATCACTCTGATTAGATGGCGCAGTGCGTCCGAATAAAAGAGCTTCCAGGCCGATTGTGAAGAGATTGTTCAGTTGTTCACGCTGTCCATTCGGGGAAATCTTTTCGAAGGATTCTTCTGTGGGAATGGGAAGCGGGGAGCTCTGTTCGCTCTTAAGCAACCCTTCTAGCTCATCGATGAAGGATGTGGTTTGAGTGTTGTCAGAGTTATTCGTATACAAATCTGGCTGGGGGCCAAACGAAATGGTATCTTGCGTGTTCTTTATTATATAGTTCATGTAGCAATAGTCTCCTACCGAATCGGGGTTTGCCAAAGAGTCTGCATTCAGTATATATAGCTGTGCGGTTTCATTTTTGGAGGTGAAAGTCATAGATGCATTGACTGTAGATAGAAAAACAGTCTTGATGTAGTCTGGAGGATGAATATGGTCAAGATAATCGAATAACGTTGTTTTTCGTGTAGGTCTCGTCTTCGACTGGCTCAAGTCCCTTTGAATGCCGATGATGAGCTTGAAGGAAGTGACATCGCCGTAGTGGAGGTGACTATAGCTCCTAAATAACGCAACAAGGCCAAGATCTGACCAGAGCTTGATAAGCAAGCCACTCGTTAGCTCTTTCCACAAGACGAGTTTACTCCGAAGCTGACCATGAGAATACCTTGGAACTACACATCATCTCTCCGACCGATGAAGCGAAAGTGGAGGCTGAAAGGACTATCGACGCATCGATATTGACCGAAATATAGAGCTTGAGTTCGGGAGTTTGGAACACCCATAGATCTTGCGATTTGAGCAGCCTCTCGATACAGGCTGCATCCGTTAAGCCAGTGTCTTCGGGAATTAGTACCTGAGCTGAAGCATGAATATTGAGATCGATAGTTGAATTAAGGGAACTAAGTCGATCTTCTCCCAGATCAATTGTCAAAACCATCCCGTGGCTTTATATAAGGAGCAGTCAGCATGAACATATACATTTGTGAAGAAGGCCCCCGGTCAATTGGGGAAAGTGGTTGTTGTAGTAGACGAAAAAGGAAAGGAGAGACGGGATCTATGGCTGTGGAGACTAAGCGGGATAGACGTCGCCGATCTCAATTCCCTGCATTTCTAGCTCTGCTCACCTTCACTATGTGGAGTTTATATAGTCGCATGGATGAAACATGTTGACACCATGACAGAATGAAGAGATCAACACTGATCAAGAACCCCGTAGTAACTAGGAAACTACTCTCGAAAATGAGGACCAATACGTCTCCACTACCTTGTGTCACAAGCGCGCGGGATCGGAAGCGCATGAAGCTTATCGCGAATATACTCCCAAACATAAAGAAAAAGGGAGTAGTGCATCTCCAATTCCAGCTTCAGCGAATTGAGTAGCTTAGCTTACAAAGGGAATATAAGCATCATAATTGCCAGCACTGCAATTGCTTATTCACTGCTATGATCGCTGCCCAAAGTAGTAAAAGTAGTTGGGTGTTATTGACTGATCTATTGACGTTTATTTTTAGCCGGCTTATCGATAAGACATCACGTGCATGGGGATTGATTACCTGGCCCCTAAAGCATCCTCCGCATTAAGGGATTCCTAGTTTCAGGAGCTTCACAATTCAGCGATGCCCAGTGATGAAGGACAGCGCGCTCTCTTGGCTGACCAGAAAGGCCCCGATGGGCCGGAATCGCAGTCACTTCTTTCCGAGTCGCCGACACAAGACTTCGAGCTTGTGAACCATGCGGCCCCGACTAGCTCGACTCCCCGCGGACAGCCGCACCAGTCTTCCATATCACAGCCGGTACCAGAAGGACAGCGCCGCACTCCTCGAACGATGAACCGAGTTCGCTTTGACCTGGACGACGAGACCGAGGATGAAGACCACCCCAATGGTCGTCGCGACTCCGGAGACTCATGGCTGGAGGAAGAGGACTATGGCCGTGCAGACCGCAACCGGTCAGCCAGGCAAATGGTCCCTCTGCTGACAGACATTGAGGCCCCGAGCGTGACCCTGGCTACTTCCGATGAATTCTTTCCCGAAGAACACCTAGAAAGTGCGAGGCCGAGGAGTGGGATGCGCATGGCCTTTATGAACATGGCCAATAGCATTATAGGAGCTGGTATAATAGGACAGCCTTATGCCCTCCGACAGGCTGGCATGTTCATGGGAATAACACTCCTGATTGTCCTCACTATTGCGGTTGATTGGACAATTCGCCTGATAGTGGTCAATTCGAAGTTGAGCGGGGCGGACTCTTTCCAGGCAACAATGCAGCATTGTTTTGGCAAGAGTGGACTTATCGCCATATCGGTTGCGCAGTGGGCGTTTGCGTTTGGCGGCATGATTGCGTTCTGTATTATCGTTGGAGATACCATACCGCATGTCTTGAGTGCTTTATTCCCTTCCCTTCGTGATATGTCGTTCCTCTGGCTTTTGACCGACAGACGCGCTATCATTGTTCTTCTTGTTCTCGGAATTTCGTATCCCCTGTCTCTGTACCGAGACATTGCTAAGGTACAGTATCAGTAATCCTCATAATTGAAGTATACGGTGCTGACAGTTCAATGTAGTTGGGAAAAGCGTCGACCTTCGCGTTGGTCAGTATGATAGTCATTGTGGTAGCTGTGATCACGCAGGGATTTCGCGTACCTCCAGAATCACGCGGGGAAGTGAAGAGCCTGCTCCTGGTTAATGATGGCTTCTTCCAGGCTGTTGGAGTGATATCATTTGGTATGTTCCGGTCATTGGTAGACTATGCGATCAAAAAAACCGTACTGACTGTTTGCAGCATTCGTATGCCGTATGTAGCATTGTCCCTTAACATGGCCCGAGACTAACAGATGCAAAGATCACAATAGCCTTCTGATCTACGGTTCATTGAAGAAACCGACCATGGACCGATTTGCAAGGGTAACCCACTACTCGACTGGTGTATCACTCTTGATGTGTCTAGCTATGGGCATCTTTGGTTTCCTTTTCTTTGGATCACAGACTCAAGGTAACGTCTTGAACAATTTCCCATCCGACAATATTCTGGTCAATATCGCACGACTGTAAGATCACGGCCCATATTCCGCGGACATTCAACAAGCTGACCCCGAAGAAGATGCTTTGGCCTAAACATGCTCACTACCTTGCCGCTCGAAGCATTTGTATGTCGGTCGGTGATGACAACTTACTACTTCCCTGACGAGCCTTTCAACATGAACCGACACCTGATATTCACATCGGCACTGGTCGTGTCCGCTATGGCTATGGCTCTGATAACGTGCGACCTAGGTGCAGTATTCGAACTGATTGGTGCAACCAGCGCTGCTGCACTGGCCTATATCTTTCCGCCTCTTTGCTATATCAAGCTGAGCAATGCGTCGCACAAAGCCAAGATCCCCTCATATTTGTGCATTGTATTCGGCATAACTGTTATGGGAGTCAGCCTGTTGCAGGCAGTGATGAAGATGATAAGTAGTAGGTCCAAGACCCTATTCACCTGATGGCCTCTGGACTGCCTTTGCTAACAATTTTCACTTGCTGCTATAGATGAAGGCGGCGCGAGCACCTGCAGTGCTTAGCGTAAAAATATTCCTATTCGGTCTCTGAGCATAATGAAGCTCACTTCCCATCTGATAGATTTCATTTCTTTCTGGCTGCCTCGATATAAATGTACATACTGTCGTGCGCCATCACGTTTCTATAACCAATTTTTGCCTCTTCCGTATAAACTTCTGGTACCGAAATATGTTTCTATATTGACATAACCGTGATAGATGTGCTATACCAGCCGCGACGCCTCAGAAGGCAACACTTAGGATGGAATAGGGAGTGTAGTGTGGTGGCTACCGATTTCACTTGGCATACGAAGACTAGTACCTCGTCGATTGCTCCGATTTGAAACTTGCTCAAAACTGTCAAACTTGTCCAATCAACCCGAGCTTGACTTTGGGTGGCTGCAAAGCTGCGTTTGCAGGCATCCTAGTACAGCAGGTACTCACCCACAACACGCAATTGTTTCACTTACTAGCCTTTATATGATTCTCGTATCTTCCTTTCTCGCAATCTGACTTCTGAAATATCCATCCACAGCGCCGACTGCCAGCATATTTGTTCTGTTTTCTTTAGCCAAATTCCTCATTCGTCGCACCCAAAACTCGATCGTAATACCTGCTGTCTTGCGTTACCCCCACATTGTGTTTCCCCTTCAAGGTTCAACTGTTCAAAGTATCCATGCTGTTTTGACTGGTTTAGTGGCGACATTTTCTAAATATTCCTCCCTGACAAAAACATTTTCGTACCTTATCCTCACCCTCGCCTTCCTAACTACCTCTACAACCTTGAAATGTCATTCACTTGAAATTGCTAGTGATGCCTGGGCAACAGAATTTCCCCCGGGGCTACTTCACTCTCTGGTAAGGCCAACGCGTTTAAAAGACGCGTCCAGCTCTCCCTGAGTAAACTCATGGATCTTTCCGTCCCAGCTCATTTTTGATCAGACATCTGAACATCAATTTGCTTCTGCAATCGCAGCATCATCTCTTCGAGAAGATGGATTCCAATACTTCAGATCGCCTCAAGAGGCTTCAAATGGTACGTTGTGCAAAGATCCAGGAAGTTCACTTCTATGAGACACGCTTTTTGGAGTAGAGTCAATGGCTAATCCAGACTTTCACCCCTATAGGAAGACCTCGGAACCGCACGACGGGAGTACATCTCAACTGCAGATGACAGGCGACATAAGAAGGCTAGGTTGGAAGACATAGAGGCAATACGGATGACAAACATTCCTGGTTCAGCTGCTCAACGCATGGCCACCGCAAACCAGGGGAGACTTGAGGATTGGGCAAGTAAGTCATTGGAAAGGAGAACCTCTCAAATATTATGCCTGTTTCCTCTTGCTGAACTTCTGTACTCAAGATGTCCACAAGACAATAGGTGATACCGAAGATCTGGAAAACCTCGACAGCCTCCTGGATGGACAAAGTCATCGGCTTCAGCTGAGCGCCATGATTCGGGGAAGTGGAGGGCAAAATTACATTGGGGATCAAAAGCGCTCTGGTTCTGCTCCGGCTATCAGGTCATTGCATCCGGTCGGTCGTGGCGGCGGCGTGATAGGCACCCGAGGACGTGGAACAAGGCAGAGCTCTTTACCGTGAGTATCAAACCTTTTTCTTTACCTATCACAGATCTCTGGCTAATATATATGGAAAATGCAGGCCGTCCAACTTTGCACCCAGAGGCCATGCTGCCCAGCCTCAGAAGCGGTCCCATAGAGATGCAGCTCTTGACGACAATGACTTCTACCGCACGGCTCGTGAAGGAAACGCTTCAAGGAAGGTAGAAGCCATGAGAGGACAAAACAGACGATCTTGTAAGCTATTGATATTCGCATTAATGAGATACATGGCGCCTAATATGATCCTTCTAGCTGTGCGAAGGCCTACGTCTTCTATGTCCAGACCGAGAAGACCCGTGTCACAGTATGTTGCAATTACCATCCCCTAAATGATATCAAATCAAACCTTACATTTGGATACAGGGTTGACTATAGTAGCATGCTCAGTCAGCCACAGAGTTTCCTTGCTGCCGCTCGCAGTCTGGTTAGCGCTAGAACTACGCCGGCTGCCCCTACTCCTGCCTCCCAAACATCTCGCGATGCTGGCAGATCTGAGACCAGTCAAAAGCCTTCAGAGCCAATGGACACCACAGATAGGTCTACTATTCAGGAGACGCAGCCGCATTCGAAACCCCAACTGGCGGAACCTTCCAAGCCTCTTCCCCGTCCAGTAGTTCAGCTACCGGCAAGACCCCCTCCGAGCACGGCTTTGCAGCGAGAGAGTGCAACCAAGACGGACGAGCCGCTTCCAGTCTTGCCATCTCCAGCCGTACTCAATACCGCCAGTCAGGATCAAGGGTCTGCCTCTATGAGCTTGGAGTCGACGGAGGATGAACAATCTAATTCTGGAATGCCTGAAAGCCAAGCTGGAACACGAGATCAAGTTACCACTGACCCCTCTACAGAGGCAGCCCCTGCACCGGATGCTATAGATACCACTCCAAAGGTAGCAACTGATGTCAAAGAAGCCATCCTGCTTGACTTTAGCTCCACACCGCCGGAGCAGAGCATCCATGGCCAAAGTCCTGCTACTACGGAGGTGCTAACCCCTTCTCTTGAAGACCTGAAAGGCCTTGACTTTAAACAGGATCTTCACCCTAGGTTTCCTACTAGAAGAAAAGTTGACTTTGACATGTCTTTGGACAAGACGGAACCATCCACCAATGAGCGGGATATCATGCCTACCAAACAACATGACAATTCCGAAGCCAGCGAGGATCTGCATCGGCAGATTAATATGCTGTGCGAGCTTTTGCAGTCGACTTCTCTTTCGGGTGAGCACCGTGAAAGCCTGAAGCAATGCAAGACAGCACTCGAAGGGAAGTTGCAAGGCGCTTATGACTCCACAGGTAAAACAATTCAAACACAAGAAGACCCTTTCCTTGGAAAGCCGGTTTTTGAAACACTTGAAGCGGCAGCTGGGCCAGATGAACAACCTCAATCGACCATCAGTGGTCTAGGTATACAGAATGTATCCATGGACAGCTCCACCCCAAAAAAAGCTGAGACGATAATCGAACCAGACAAGCAATCGACCCCCAGCATCGGTGGACAGATCATGCCTACATCAGTCGAGAATGCCCGACTAGCGATGGCAAGTCCAAGCCCGTCCGCCCGACTAAACGTGACCGCGCCGCCATTCGTCCCAAAGACACCCTACCGCGCCCAGTCGAATAGTTTCTCAAGCGAGTCGAATGCGACATGCGTTCCTGAAACTCCTTGCCCGCATCGTCGCGTGAGCATGCCAGAAGGACACATATTTGGGGATCACCTACTGCCAGGTAGGCGTAGAGAGACCATATCCTCTGGAGCCGAGCCGCTTGCGGCGAAGCAGCCACCAGCCGATGGTATTACCTTTATTTATCTATATATTCATTGTCTCATGTCCAATACTAATTTCAACTCCAGAAGTTCCTGAACCCCGTTTCAAGTTCTCGATTCCACCGAAAGTCTCACACAAATTGACCATCAAGACACCTGTCAGGGAAGGATTTGGCAAAGAGGACACCCCCAGACCAACTGCGCCACGGCTTGCATCAGGGAACATTCCCAAGCCGGCCACCAGACCTTCACCTGCTCTGCAGCAGTCTGTCCACGCGCCGAAGGCCAAGCCCTCCCCCTCCGCCCTGGGCGGTCTTGAGAGCTCTAGATATGCGTCGCCCTCGAGCAACAAGCCTTTTCGATAATTCTAATGATACTTACTAATCGGTGAAAATCAGGTTGTTGTTGTGTGTTATCTACAGTTTGACCATGTGTACTTAGTACTACTACTTCTACTACTTAGGTAATAACTAAATGTTGAAAGAACCTCATGTTGTAGGATTAAGCGGGTTTGCTTCATACAGTTCTATACAGTATCATTTCGTAGTAACATAATTCATGACAAGTAGCATAATTAAATTGACTTCAAACAAATGTCATACTTCTCATACTATAGAAGACATTCTATGCTGTAGACCACAAACTACATATATATTTTACAGCTTCGCCTTGACCTTGAGCATCGCCTCTGCCACTTTCCGTCGTTGAATCTTACCCGTCGCCGTCTTGGGGATCTGCGGAACAAGCCACACCTACAATATAAAGTCCAATTAGTGACCCCCATATCACATCAAAGCAACAACGAATGGAGGGGGGAAACCTACCTTCTTAGGCGTCTTAAACTTCGCCAACTTCGACTCCACCCACGCCTTCAACTCCTCCTCAGTCGCAGCATCCCGACTCTTAAGCACCACCGCAGCACCGATATCCTCCCCATAGTGACCCTCATCCGGAATAGCGAAGCACACAGCCTCGGCGACCTTCGGATGATGCAAGAGCGTGTTATCCAATTCAATTGGGCTGATCTTCTCACCTCCCTTATTGATAAGTTCCTTGATACGGCCTGTGATGATAACGTAGCCATCGGCGTCTTTCTTGCCCTGGTCGCCTGTACGGAAGAATCCGTCCGCAGTGAAAGAGGATGCGTTGGCGGAGGGGTTGTTCAGGTAGCCCTTTGTTACGTTGTCGCCTCGGACGCAGATCTCTGCTTCTTGGCCTTGAGGCACTTCGTTGCCGTTGTTGTCGAGGATTCGTACTTCCACGCCTTGGCCTAGGCCTACGCTGCCGGGTTGGCGTTTCCCTGGGGGGAGGGGGTTGCTGGTCATTTGGTGGGCGGCTTCGGTCATGGCGTAGGCTTCGAGGACGGGGGCATTGAAGGCCTTTTCTAGGTCTTGGAAGGTTTTAGGGAAGAGGGGCGAGGAGCATGAGCGGATGAAGCGGATATGAGGGACTGGGTTGGGGAGCGGTGTTTTGAGGAGGATTTGGTGGATGGTTGGTACTGCTGTGTACCAGTTTGCTTTGTGGGTGGTGAAGTCCGTCCAGAAGTCTTTGGCGGAGAATCTGGGAGGGACTATTACGGAGCCTCCGGAGTATAGAGGGGCTAGGAATGCTGCGAGGAGACCATGGACGTGGAATAGTGGCATCACGAGGTATGTTCGGTCTGCTGGGGTGAGCTTGTATGTTGCTTGGATGTTCCCTGTAGTGGGTTAGTGGATTTGTTCTTGGGATTGTCTCTATTTTTTGCTTTTGGGAGTGTGTCTGTATAGTTGTATCGCTACTTACTCATTGTGGTTGTCAAATTCTTGTGAGTGAGTGGGACCTGCATGGCAAAGAGTAGATCGGAATGTTAGCGACATGAGATATCCAATGGGAAGCGGGATAGTAGATCGAGCATACAGCTTTGGGCCTGCCAGTCGTCCCACTGGTATGTAGAACGAGGGCAATGTCATCAGGCTGAGATTCCTGGATATCTGCGCCTCCATTGCCAGCCAACTTTCCATGTTCCTTGACATCTAGAACAATTTCAGAACCGTTCCAGTAGCACTCCGCGATAGCGGCCTGGTACTTTCGGCCCGCGCGAACGGCCGGTCCATCCTTTATGTATGAACCCTTTGGAATTAAAAGCAGTGTGGAGCTCAGATCGTCGATGTAAAATTCAAATTCCTCTTGCTTATAGGCCGGGTTCAAGGGCGCGGCGATGGCACGTTGCCAGGATGCGGCAAGAAAGGCGACTATGAACTCATAGGAGTTAATCAGAGCCAGCGAGACCGCAGCGCCATGAGTGACACCCAGTCGAGCTAGCTTAGCCTGGAAATCGGCGATATGGTTGTGTAGCTGCTGATAGGAGATCGACAGCGGAGTGGGTTTATTGGGGACTAGGACAGCAAGGTCAGCACTATCGGAGGAAAATGACCGGGCCAAGGTCGCCATCGTCGTTAGTATGCTGCAGGATAGTAACGCTTAGTGTCTTGGCTTGGCAGGGATGCTGATCGGAATTGAATCAATAGAGTTGATGAGATCCAATTGCTTATGGAACTTGTGAGATGGAGAATCAGGGTTCAGGAAGTCTTTCACAACACCACGAGAACTTGTTTCCCAGGGTATTTTGCTAAAGGGATAGGGGTTCCCTTTCTTGTCTTCCCATCCGACCTCGGGATCTCCTCTTTGGGCTCCGCTCCCCCAATATTTCCTGTTTGGGACAGCTGATTCTGGTTAGTCACCGCCACAATGTAACAAACTAAGCAAACCATGTAAACTAGACAAACCTCTCCTCATTCTATCGGCCCCCGTTCACATTACTTGGGTGATCGTTTGATGGTACGCTGTAAAGCTGTCGCTTGAACTGTCCCCTTCATGCTTATTAGATCTTGATTTCTCTTCATTTCGTATCAGACATGGCTTCTGATTCTACCCCCGCGAAGCCAGGGGGCACCTTGTCACTCTACGCCAATCTTCTAGATCCATCTGCCGATAACTCGCCCGGAACGATCGCTCGCGCCCCGGTCGTCTTTAAGCAGAGTAGCACTACCGAGAATAATGACACTCAGTCCGATGAATCCGCTGCCAAAAAGCAGCAGCTCAGTGCTGGTAGACTCATACCCTGTTTTGTTGACTGAGCCGTTTTATCTGCATTTGAACGATCTGATTGCTCACTTGTCCGCCCGGTTGTTCTCATCGGTGGTTTCCAGCTTCTCTCAGATTTCAGCCTACCAAGAGGCCCCAGCTAGCAGCCCAGAAACCGAAACCGAAACCGACCTTACCAAAGGCTGCTGCTGCACCCGCGGCCCCGGCAGCAGCCCCCGTGAAGACTACTCTCGCAGATTGGGCAGCCACTGAGGATGACGATGTCAATGGATTCTATGCCGGTCCGAAGAGGCAACGAGGTGGGCGCAAGAAGCGCAAGAAGAACCGCGAGGCGCAGGAGTTTGTGCAGAACTGGGACGACATTTATGACCCGTCGCGACCAAACAACTACGAAGAGTACAAGCACAGTGACGAACAAATAGCCGAGGTGAGGGAGTGGAAAGACCGTCTTTACGCACACCGCATGGCCAGATCGCCCAGCAGGGACTCACTAAGTGACGATGAATATGCACGACCCATGAACCGTAAGCTATTCGCTCTCAAGATCGTGTTCATCTACTCATGACTGTCATAGGTAAATTTGCTCCTCCGAGCAGCTTCGCGCCGCCTCCCAATCTCAACGATATGCCGCCCAGGCCCCCCATTGAATCTCCTCCAGAACGAACAAGCGAAACCCCAGGAGATATCTCCATGTCGGATGCTCCTCCACCGCCACCCCCGACCGATGAGCCGCCCGCGCAAGTTCCGGATGACCCTACAGGCGAAGATGCCTACTTACGGCGCCTTCAGTTGTCAATGGGCAACCAGCCTGCAGCAGCTCCGGCTGTCCCACCACCGCCCAGGCCCTTAGAATCCTTACAACCAGCTTCCGCAACTATATCCCGAGCACCTGTTCGCTACACGCTTCCTCCTCCACCCGAGGACATACCTGCGTCGGAGGCGGAATTGGAAGAAGTCTTCGCAAAGGAGCAGCCAGTGGAAGATGAACCGGAGGATGAGAGCCAGCGTTCGCTGCGGCCAGGACAGAAGGGATTTGCTGAACGTCTCATGGCCAAGTATGGCTGGACTAAGGGCTCTGGTCTGGGTGCTACGGGCACCGGCATTGTCAAGCCATTGCAAGTCAAGGTTGAGAAGCAGAAGAAGCGACCGGACTCCGAAGGTGGAGGCTTCGCGACGCCCGCTGGTCGGGGCAAGATCATTGGTGGCGCAAGGAAGAATGAAGAGGAGGGGAAGTTCGGTCCAATGAGTGAAGTCATTATCTTAAAGGGTATGCTTGACGGAATGGACTTGGATGCTGAGTTAGCTGGGGATGGCGAGGGTGGTGGTCTCATGCAAGAGATTGGTGAAGAGTGTTCTGAAAAGGTAAGTGGATGTTTGCCTATTACATGGCACGGTCTAATGAGATACAGTACGGTCGTGTTGAACGTGTCTTCATACCCCGAGACTCGGCACCTCCAGTGCCAGTTTTTGTCAAGTTCACCAATCAGCTATCGGCTCTACGTGTAAGTGCTGCATTCATGCCCACCTAATGCTTTATTCAAGAACCTGGCTAAGAACTCTAGGCCGTCAACGCTCTTGAGGGTCGGATATTCAGTGGGAATGCTATCACTGCCCGGTTCTACGATGTACATACTTTTGAACAGGGGATATACGATAGCTAGTAGCCCGAAGGGAATCTGTACATGATACCTCACAAGTCGCGAACTGAAGAATACAAGCAAGGGACAATTCTCTCACCTTTTACGGCACTTAGTGTAGTCATTTTGTGGAGCCAGAACAAGACTACTAGGAAAATGCATCCAATTCGGTGACTCTTATCTGTTGACCAGGTCACTGTTTGCATTGATACCAGTGCTTAGAGACCAGGTATCATGATGTCCCCTGTGGCTATCTATACTGCATTAAAGTCATGTGACTTAAGCATGAGATATAGTACTTGCTTCCAGGCTCCTTCCACGGTGGTTGTTGCCTAAATCCATACATACAATATACTATGTCGTTTGAGATAGTCTATACATCCTGAAAAAAGGCTATTTACTACAACCATAGCACAGCTACTAATATACCACCGCTGAGGAAGTTGCTGGAGTGGTTGGAGAGACTAGTAGCAGTAACCTCTTAACTAATTACTTCATTGGTACATGGTATCTCTGTGCTTTTGAGTTGGCTGACGGCGATCTCCGGGAATAATTGCTGCATGTCAACTGTGTGTACCCAATAAAACCACCAAGTACAACGCAAGGACACATGGAAGACCCCATTGGTTCCGTCGCCCAAGGCACAACTGCAGAGGGAGGAAATGGAAGACGTGCCAATGAACTTTCTTCGATCAAAAAGTTCGATGCGGATCTATGAGGTCATGTGACAGCGATAAACTGCAGCGCCGCCGGGGACTGATTGGCTGTGGGGCATCAAACCCAGCGATGAGCAGCTGCACGCCCAAGACAGTGTTACTTCGTCTGCGCATTCACGGCCGACCTTAATTTGCCTACCTCACTATCATTTAAATCCCCTCTGGCCTCGTTCCTCCCGCCTCGCTTTCTTCTCTTCTTCCCCTCTCCCTCCCAACCCTCTCAACCCTCTCGCCGTCATCCCAACCTTCTTCGGTTCCAGCCCACCTACGTACTCCGAAACCGCATCCCCAAAATGTCGCTTTGCCAGAATCGTCTCACGGAGGAGAGGTATGTGACTGACAACCACCGCATATACATATTGTGGCGTGTATTTTCTCGAACTAACCCCAAACGCGACCATCTACAGAAAGCAGTGGCGTCGAGACCACCCTTTTGGCTTCTACGCAAAGCCGCATCGGACTCCTCAAGGAACACTTGACCTCAAACGATGGGAGTGCGGTATCCCCGGCAAGGCGCAAACACTCTGGGAAGGTGGACTTTTCAAGCTTGACGTTACCTTTCCTGATGGTGAGTGAAGCTTATCGACTGGTGCTCTATGCGACAAACCTGCTAACCCGCATTCTATCGCAGAATACCCCACTAAGCCGCCGAAGTGTAGGGTCCCATCTCTCCCGTACCATCCCCAACGCCACTCGTCCGCGCTGTTTGAAAGGTTTCGTCTATAGCACTTTTCGCGCAACAAGCTAACTAGAGTATTCGCAATTTAACAGGCAAATTCGTGCCTCCGCTTTTCCACCCTAACGTCTATCCCTCTGGCACCGTGTGTCTCTCGATCTTGAACGAGGAGGAGGCGTGGAAGCCCGCAATCACAATCAAGCAGATTCTCCTGGGTATTCAGGACCTGCTAGACGACCCCAACCCGGAGTCGCCAGCCCAGGCTGAGGCATACAACCTGTTTAAGAAAGACCGCCCAGCGTACGAGAAGCGAGTTAAACAGGTCGTGAGGGAGAACCCGGCCCTTTAAAGAACGCCCCACGACAGCATGACAATTTATTATTCCACCACGAAGCTACTCTTCCGCCCGTCGTGTGTCTATTTCCGTCCCCCCAAACTTCACACTAGTTCTGCGAATATGACGGCGGGTATGGCGGCTTAAGAGTCTTAGACCAGGTGTTCCCACGTGGGGTAGAAGGACGGGAAGCTTTCCAAGAGGGAGAGCGCAGATAACACCCGCTTGGGATTTTATGATCATTCTCAGCGCGCCATTGCAGTCAAACAGGTTCTGAAATGTCACATGGGCGCAGGTGTGTCCTAACTATTCTCTTGTCTTGGAGGTGTGGAATACTTGGGTTTTCTTCTTAGCGAGCAGCGTGGCGTACATAGAACTGACAAAACGGGGCGGTTCGGGACGGCGTTTGACACTATCTTAATGCGATTTATCTAGCTTATGTCCCTTCATTCTCTTTGGGATTCTCGCATACTTCTATCTATGTCTACCATGGGGGGCGGTTGCATGCTGGTGACCGATTTTCGGATGATCATACCATAGATAGACGGCTTGTGCCCCCTGGGTGGGGGGAGGGTCCTCTCTAATCGACTCCAACTCAATTTTCTCCAATCTGTCATCCTTAGTGCGTAAAAGTAAAACAAGTTCCAGAAAGATCAAAAATCTGGAGAAAGTACTCTAGTAGAATATAAAATGTGGGGGATGTGCAGACAGTTGAAGGAAAATGGGACACCAACAACGTTGGAACCAAGAGGAACCCGACCCAACCTGTCAGGGCACAACCAATAAGGATGACATAGATAGAAAGAAAGAAAAGTAACCGTCACAGCGACAATTCAGTTTTCTGCGTAGGAAAATTAGCGGCTATCTTATCGGAAGTGAGTCACTGAGATTTGTGGCCGAAATCGCCCCTCGGGTTCCGCCCCGCCGCCGCGAACGGGTGTGTCGCTTTTCCAATCCATATTTAAGATTTCCCGCTTCATCTCTCTCTCTTTCCCCTCGTTCTCCTATCTTTCGATTAGTCAATTGCTTCCCTTTTGCTGTCTACCTGAGTCGGTTCATCAATTGAATTGTAGTCAGCATGTGTGGTATCTTCGCGTGTCATCAGTATGTGGGCTAACCCTGGAATCTTTCTTCTCTCTCCCCTCTCTCTCTTTCAAAGTCTTTGATTTCTTTGGCGGGCCCCGCGCCACTATCGCTCTCCGTTTTTGAGTCACACTCTCTGATCTGAACTGCCATAGTCACCCCGATGTGCAAAAATTCAAGCCTACGGCCCTGCGCATGGCCAAGGCGTAAGTATTCCTGGCTCACTTTTGATGGTGAATGTGGTGCTGATTGTTGTTGAACAGTTTGCGCCACCGTGGTCCCGATTGGAGTGAGTCATAAGCCTTTTATTTGGCAAGCGTGCTGGTGGACATTATTCTGACTTGCGTCTAGGTGGAAGCTGGATGTCTGAGAAGACTAGTGAGTTGAGCAGCTTCGTGGGCTCGAAGAAGGTGGTGACTAATTGATCGGCAGTCCTCGCGCACGAGCGTCTGTGTATCGTCGGTGTTGGTATGTGATGCTTTACCCCCGCCGCGGATCGTTTCGATAATCATACTAACGTGGTTTCTTTGCAGACTCTGGTGCCCAGCCCCTTGTCAACGACGATGGCTCCCTTGCCCTGGCCGTCAACGGCGAGATCTATAACCACCGTATCCTCCGGAAGAACTTGAAGACCAAGTATGAGTTCAAGACGCATTCCGACTGTGAGGTCGTCATTCCTCTGGTATGTGCAAAGGATATTTTCTGGTGTGTATCTGTATAGGGTTGCTGATGGGTTTAGTACATGGAACACGGCCTTGACGCCCCCAAGCACCTGGATGGCATGTTTTCCTGGGTTCTCTACGACAAGAACCAGGACAGGGTTGTCGCCGCTCGTGATCCCATCGGTATCACCAGCTTTTACATTGGCTGGTCCTCTGAGACCCCTGGAGCCGTTTACTTCGCTTCCGAGCTGAAGTCTCTCCACCCGGTTTGCGACAAGATCCAGGCTTTCCCTCCCGGCCACATCTTCGACTCCAAGACCGGCTCTTTCACTCGCTACTTCGAGCCGACCTGGTGGGACCCCACCAACGTTCCCTCCGCCCCTGTTGACTACAAGGTCATCCGCGCTTCTCTCGAGAAGTCGGTTCGCAAGCGTCTGATGGCTGAGGTTCCTTATGGTGTCTTGCTCTCCGGTGGTCTCGACTCCAGCTTGGTCGCCTCCATCGCTCAGCGGGAGACCCTGCGTATGCAGGAGGCCGCCAAGGCTGCCCAGGCCCAGGGTGCTGAGCTGAACGAGTTGGTCGGCATTGACGACTCCAACGATCTGTCCACCGTCACCACCTTCCAGCAGCTGCACTCCTTCTCCATTGGTCTGCCTGGTGCCCCCGACACCGAGGCCGCCCTCAAGGTGGCTAAGTTCCTCGGAACCAAGCACCATGCTTTCACTTTCACCGTTGAGGACGGTCTCAACGCCCTCTCCGACGTCATCTACCACCTGGAAACTTACGATGTCACCACCATCCGTGCCTCCACCCCCATGTACCTGCTCAGCCGTAAGATCAAGGCTATGGGTGTCAAGATGGTTCTCAGTGGTGAGGGTAGTGACGAGATTTTCGGTGGATACCTTTACTTCCACGCTGCTCCCGACCGTGAGGAGTTCCACAAGGAGACTGTCCGCCGTGTCAAGAACCTGCACTTGGCGGATTGCCTGAGAGCCAACAAGTCCACCTCTGCCTGGGGTCTGGAAGCCCGTGTTCCCTTCCTGGACAAGGAATTCCTTGAGACCTGCATGGGTGTTGAACCTTCCGAGAAGATGATCACCAAGGAGCGTATCGAGAAGTACATCCTGCGCAAGGCCTTCGACACCACCGACGAGCCCGACGTCAAGCCCTACCTGCCCGACAACATTCTCTGGCGCCAGAAGGAGCAGTTCAGTGACGGTGTCGGCTACAGCTGGATCGATGCCCTCAAGGACCAGGCTGAGGTGCACGTCACCGACGAGATGATGAAGAACCCCAAGCCCGAGTGGGGTAGCGACATTCCCGACACCAAGGAAGCGTATGTTTAGAGTTTTGTGTCATTGTATTGCCGAAGACAGGGACTGACATTCTCTTAGCTACTGGTACCGCACGATGTTCGACGAACTCTTCCCGGCTTCTTGTGCCGGCACTGTTGAGCGTTGGGTACCGACCTGGTCCAAGCAGACCGACCCGAGTGGCAGGTAAGCATATGATGCATCAGAACGCAGAAGTAAACAGACAGCTGATATATTCGACCTTCTTTAGAGCTATTGCGACTCACAACGCCAAGTACGAAAACGCCGTTTAAATGTCTGGGTAATGAATATTGCGTGTCTTAACTTCTTGCGGAGAGTTTGGGTATAGAACCATGTATAGATGATTTACTAGGGATACTCATTGGGACGCAAAAAAAAGCGAATTTCAATTAGATGCGTCGGGATAACCGCGTATTGGCCTTTCCTTTTCTTTCATCTATGATGTCTTCTTCCACTACTGGTGTTGTGTGTGTTCGATCGGCAAGATTTGTAAGAATTGTAGGAATGGTTGAGAGTAGTTCGGGCGAGGTTACCACACCGGCGGATTATGAGTCAAGCGCGGATGGTGCTGATCAGGAGGGACATGCGTTGTCACGGTCATACGAACCCCATGTGGTTGGGCTGGGTTCCATGGTAGGTCCATGCATGCTGTCCCGATGGGGATGCGTGACAGGCATCCAGGATGATACAATTGCTATGTTTCTGAGAAGCGGTCAATTTCATAACATAATAGTAGTTATTTTTTTTTTTTTTTTTTTTTTTTTTTTCATTTTTCAAGTTATTGAGAGAAGCTAAAGGAGACCATTATACTTTGTTTTCTCATCTTCAGGACGAACGGAAGCCGAGGATAAGCAAGCAACTAACTACAAAGTAACTAGTTAGTGTTAGTAGTAGTAGTCGAAACACGGCGGGCTGAACTCTCGGGAAACCTTGGAAAGGTTGACTCGCAATTCAGGCGCGGAATCTCAGCCGCCAGGCATCGACATCACGGGACTTAGCGGCTTCTACCGGCAACCGAGCACCGACCAATCAGGGTGGGGGGTTACTCCCGTGGCTTCCCCATTGTTTGGCGACTCAACTTCGACCTTCTTTCCTGCCCGGTTTCCCCATCGTTTCCCTTTCCCTTTCCTTCTCCCCTCATCATCTTCAGCCTTTCCACTCTATCCTCTCTTATCTCCTTCTGACGTTTTCGTCATCTCCTATACCACCTCATTCACAATGTCTGCTCCTGCTGCTTTCTCCGACATCGCCAAGGCGGCCAACGATGTATGCTGCCCTCAACACCTTTGAAAATTGTTACCTTGGAAGAACAGCTTCCCGGGAAGGGATTTTCGTGCTAATCCTCTGCACAACAGCTCCTGAACAAGGACTTCTACCACAACAGCGCCGGTGAGTTCCCTCCCAATTCCTGCGCCCCTGAATTGGGTTGTTTGCTTTTTCTCTTTTTGCGCGCGACTCGGCTGACTCAAGTGTTACTCTAGCCAACCTCGAGGTTAAGTCCAAGGCTCCCAATGGCGTCACCTTCAACGTGAAGGGCAAGTCTGCCCACGAGGGTCCCATTGCTGGCTCCGTAAGTTCACCACCCCATTGGGCGTCCTTCCATTGAACTATGGATCATAATGCTAACCATCATCCTGTTATAGCTCGAGGCCAAGTACGTTGACCAGCCCACTGGTAAAGGCCCCCGGAAACGCAAAAAACAATGCGAACATCCCTTGCGCACACCACCCGTCCCTTCATCCCCAGCAGTGCTTGAGGATAGGTTCACGTTCATGTTTGCGTGCAGCCATGCCCCATCCCAGCGCTTCTTCCTTCACTTCATGTCCAGGATTGTGGAACATGCAGGAATGCTAATTATCCGTCCCCACCCAGGCCTTACCCTCACCCAGGCTTGGACCACTGCCAACGCCCTCGACACCAAGCTCGAGCTCGACAACAACATCGCCAAGGGCCTCAAGGCTGAGATCCTGACCCAGTACCTCCCTGCCAAGCAGTCCAAGGGTGCTAAGCTCAACCTCTACTTCAAGCAGCCCAACCTGCACGCCCGTGCCTTCTTCGACCTCCTCAACGGCCCCTCCGCCAACTTCGACGCTGTTCTCGGCCACGAGGGCTTCCTCGTCGGTGCTGAGGGTGGCTACGACGTCCAGAAGGCCGCCATCACCAAGTACTCCGCTGCCGTTGGCTACAGCGTTCCCCAGTACTCCGCTGCCATCACCGCTGGCAACAACCTGACCGTCTTCTCCGCCAGCTACTACCACCGCGTCAACGCTCAGGTTGAGGCTGGTGCTAAGGCTACCTGGGACTCCAAGACCGGCAACTCCGTCGGCCTTGAGGTTGCCAGCAAGTACCGCCTTGACCCCTCTTCCTTCGCCAAGGTATGCAACCTTTTCAGATCTCATAGATCATCGTTAACCCCATTCTCTACAGGCCAAGATCAACGACCGTGGTGTTGCCGCTCTGGCCTACAACGTTCTCCTCCGCCCTGGTGTTACCCTCGGCCTTGGTGCTTCCTTCGATACCCAGAACCTGAACCAGGCTGCCCACAAGGTTGGCGCCAGCTTCACCTTTGAGGCTTAGATGAATTTTCCTTGTTTTCAGCACCCGCCCATGCCTAGTCCTTTGTGCTCCGATACTGCCTGATAGAGTAGATTTTGGAAGTCATTGAGATTATCGATTGATTCCTGGTTGTCTCTTGTCCGGCTGTTGGTATACGCGGGATAGGAGTTGGGAGTGGGCGCGGGGTTGTTATATGGATGTTTAGATAATAATCATGTATCACACCCTTTCAACGATAGTGTATATCAATCAAGCCTATATTTCCTTGTTCCAAGCCAAGCCCGTCTATAGTATATACACATGTGGACTCTCAGCAGAGTCGCGGGTATAGAACCAGCTATATCCGAATGCATGCCGAATTGAACCTCCCAAGCAAGTCCTGCGCCAGATGAATGTCTATGAACCAGCCAGTTGCCCCCAATATACAGAACCAACCCAACCCACCAGGAAGAGTACTGACCACACCCTAAGCCCCGATCAACCCTCCTTCCTCCCCACCGACTTAGTAGACTTCGTCTGCCCACCGGCCCGATCACCGTTCCACACCCCCGTCATAGCGCCCGCCCCCATCAATATCCCACAGACCACAATAAACCTAACAGCCATGGCCCCAGGACTCCCAAGATACTTATCATTGATGTGCGACGCCCCAGCCATCTCCCTCGACCTCCGCTCCTGCCTCCTCTCATCCTCCCTCGTCTGCGTCCTATAATGCCCCTTTGCATTAAAATGCCACACCGTATTCCGATGGATAAACGACGTCGGATCGTCCTCTGCTGTCCCCTTCGCACTACCACCACCACCACCTTCTCCACCAGCCCGCCTCCCAGTCCCTCCATACCCCCCATGCGCATAGAAACTCGGCGGCGGCCCACGAAACTGACCCCGACGTTTACTTAATCCGCTGGCGGGTCGCGACCCCGCGTACGACGCCCCCTTCGTGTGCAGGTTCGCGCTGTAGCTGCTGTAGCTGCCCATGGGGTGTTGGCCTGGCGTTGCCGTGCTGTGGGTCGAGGATGCATGGATGTGGATGTGGTGGTCGCGGTCGTAGATACTGCGTTTCGTGGCGTTGCTGAGGGTGTTGTAGGCGCTGGAGATTTGGGCAAATCGGTTGGAGGCGCTGGGGTCGTCGCGGTTGCGGTCTGGGTGGTGTTGGAGGGAGAGGGCGTAGAATTTTCTATATGAATTTGAGGGAGGGTGGTTAGTTTGGGGGAGGATTGGAGGTGACGGGGATGGGATGGTACTTTTTGATCTCGGCTTGGGTGGCGGTTGGAGGGACGTCGAGGATTTCGTAGTAGGTTGGTTCGCGGGCGGAGGGGGAGTAATGGAGCGTGGATGAGGTGAATGTTCGGATTGAGTGGTGGTGGTGGTGGTGGATTGGATTGGTGTAGGGTGTGCTGGTGATGGTGGTCTGTCGGAGGCGGGTGGCCGTGGGCCCCCGGAGACGAGGGAAGGTCATGTTTCTTTTTGAGGATTGTGTTGTGTTGTGTTGGTTATGAGGGATGATTGGTTACATTAGGTAGAGGGTTAGGGTTAGGAGGGAATGGAAGAGGGCGCGATTGAATGGAGGGAGAGTTGGAGATTGTAACTTATCGGTGCTGGGTCAGGATAAGATGAGAGAAGGAAATCCGCCGCTCTTCGGAAGGCGGAGCTGCGTCATCGGTCGGGTTTATCTGATCTGATCTGGTGGTGGATCTTGCTTTCTACGGAGTACTTCGTAGATATACTTTGTGCTACGTTGTATTTGGTGCTATTCTTGGGTGTAGATTGTGTATCTTGATCTTGGGATATTGTTGAAGAGATCTATGAATTGATTTATTGTTTTTTCCTCCTATTGTTTCTCTTGTTCTGGGGTACTGGTGTTGTTAGGTGTGCATGCATGGATGTAGGTCCATTTATGGTGATTCTAGATAATATTGCATGACATCGTCACTTTGTCCTATTTATTAGCGCATTGTGTATCTTCTATGCATACTAATTTACCCTCTTGATTATTCTAATCGATGTCAATGTTCTAGTCAGGCAGGTTTCTGCAGGCTTCAGACGCACGCGACCATTTGCAATGTTAGCGTACACTGATACCTACACCTATATATATCCCTTTGTGTATAGTTGGTAGTAATTAGTATGGTCAATGCATTCAATTTGTACATGCAGGTTGTACCTGACCTGAAGTTTCTCCACAGCATCGATCTAGACAACCAGCTAGGGCTCCAATACTAACTAACCAGTTGGCGCCGCGGAACCCTGAAAACAGCCAAAAGGCAACCTTCAGGCTTGGCATTGACCGTCTTTTCCCCGACGGTTGCCGCTTTGCCCTCATTTTTCTTTCCCCTCCATCAGCCCACCACCATCCATCCCGGTTTGCCCAGCTTTTCAACATGGCTGCCCAGGCTAGCGAGAAGCTGCAGAAGCTCGACCGTAAGTCACTGAACGACTCCCGTTGCTGATCTCCGAACCCTCCTCTGCCATTCGTTCGCAGTAAGCTGATAAGATTTCCCCGCTCGCTCTCTAGTCAACGGTCAAAGCGGCGACGCGAAGGCGGACGCCCCTGCCGCTGGTCAAGCACAAGCCGGAGAGGCGGAGGACGACTCCGACGATGATGAAGTAGAGGATGGAAATGCTGCCGGCGAGGGTGCAGCCAGCGGAGGTGCGCTTTCTCTCCACAAATACCAACCCCTCGGGCCAATTCCAGAGTTCTCCCCGCACTGACCAAATCCGCGGATGTGCAGCCGCCAAGAAAAAGAAGAAGCGCAAGTCCAAGAAGAAGAAGAAGGGAGGCGCCAAGGTCCAGTCCTCTCCTCCGCGCGTTCCCCTGTCGACTCTGTTCGCCGGCAAGGAATATCCCGAGGGTGAGATCGTCGAGTACCAGAATGAGAATTCGTACCGCACCACCAACGAGGAGAAGCGCTACCTCGACCGCATGAAGAATGACTTCCTGCAGGAGTACCGTCAGGCCGCTGAGGTGCACCGTCAGGTTCGTCAGTATGCGCAGAAGACCATCAAGCCCGGCCAGACCCTCACGGAGATTGCGGAGGGCATTGAAGAATCCGTCCGCGCCTTGACCGGTCACCAGGGACTTGAGGAAGGTGATAACCTCAAGGGTGGTATGGGTTTCCCCTGTGGTCTCAGTATTAACCACTGCGCTGCCCACTACACCCCCAACGCTGGCAACAAGATGGTGTTGCAGCAGGGTGATGTCATGAAGGTCGATTTCGGTGCCCACATCAACGGCCGTATCGTCGACAGTGCTTTCACCGTGGCCTTTGACCCGGTGTATGACCCTCTCTTGGCCGCCGTTAAGGATGCTACCAACACTGGTATCCGCGTATGTCTACAGTCTCTATCCTAGTACCGGGTGTCTGGTTACTAACAGCTTGATGTAGGAAGCGGGTATCGACGTCCGCATGAGCGACATCGGTGCCGCCGTCCAGGAAGCCATGGAGAGTTACGAAGTTGAAATCAACGGGACCATGTATCCCGTCAAGTGTATCCGGAACCTCAACGGTCACAACATTGACCAGCACATCATCCACGGTGGCAAGAGTGTTCCCATTGTCAAGGGTGGCGACCAGACCAAGATGGAGGAGGGCGAAGTGTTTGCCATTGAGACCTTCGGTAGTACCGGAAAGGGTTACGTGAGAGAGGATGTAGGTTTTTGACATTTAATGGCCAAAACTTATCCATTTGCTAACTGATGTGAAGATGGAAACCTCTCACTACGCTCTGATCCCTGATCACAGTCAGGTTCCTCTGCGTCTCTCTTCGGCGAAGAACTTGTTGAACGTCATCAACAAGAACTTCGGTACTCTTCCCTTCTGTCGCCGTTACCTTGACCGGTTGGGCCAGGATAAGTACCTCCTTGGGGTGAGTGAATCCTCTGCTTCGTAATGTGTCAATGCTAATCAGCTGGTGCAGTTGAACAACCTGGTCTCGTCCGGAATTGTCCAGGACTACCCGCCTCTTTGCGATATCAAGGGCTCCTACACTGCCCAGTATGAACATGTACGTCTTTCTGCATCTCTTACGATCTATAGACATACAGCTAACCAGCCAACAGACGATTGTCCTTCGACCCAATGTAAAGGAAGTCATCAGTCGCGGCGACGACTACTAGGTTGAACTATCTTTGGTCGAGGGTTTAGGGATTGTACCACTCCAATTAGCCTTATTTGAAACGAACCAAGTATATGAAATGCATGTTAACTATTGACCAATGATGCCGATGATTATGTATAACTTTTCACCGAGTAATAAAAAGCGTAGATGGAATCGGACCATCCGTGGACCCGGGTAGCCCCACGTGGAAAGCATCCGCTCCGAAACTCACGTTGTTCTGTTCCTTGCGCTCTCCCATCAGCCCATTTCTCTCCCACACTCTCTTCTTCCTCCTTCCTACTCTTCGGTCGCAGTCATCTATGGCGTAAATTGCCACCTGGAAAGTCTGTCATTCTCACCCCTACTCGTCCCTCGCTATGTCTTCGTCCGTCGTCGAAGCCACCGCGGATGCTTCACCGCATCTCCGCGTGTCCGCATCCAAGGGCCAGGCTGCGCAAGCTACCCCCGATAAAACAGAGCCTTCAACCAGAATCGACCCTCCAGAAACCTCCGCTGTCGATGATCACTTCTTTTGGACATACACAGAGGAGCCGCATCGCTCCAGGCGACAGGCCATCATCAAAGCGCACCCGGAGGTATGCATATACTTCTCCGTGGCCTTTTCCGCCAAATAATCATTTATTGACATCTGTGCTTCCTTCAGGTCACCAAGCTCTGCGGACCAGAGCCCCTGACCAAATATGTCGTTCTGGGCGTCGTCTCTCTCCAGGTCCTCTGCGCCTACCTACTCCGCAACACCTCCATGCTCGACTGGAAATTTCTCGCAACTGCATACGTGATCGGAGCCACCTCGAACCAGAACCTCTTCCTCGCCATCCACGAGATCTCCCACAACCTCGCCTTCCGGTCTGCCATGGCCAACCGTCTGCTGGCCATCTTCGCCAACATCCCAATCGGTTTGCCCTACAGTGCTGCGTTCCGGGTACGTCGGACCACCAAAGTCCAGAAGAAGCATATGAAACAAGTATACAAGAAGCTAAAGCTAACTTCTCCCACTTCACAGCCCTACCATCTCACCCACCACAAGTCCCTCGGCGTCGCCGGCCTAGACACCGACCTTCCCACCGCCGTCGAAGCCTTCCTCCTTGACTCCATCCTCGGAAAGGCCTTCTTCTGCACCTTCCAGATCCTCTTCTACGCCGTCCGCCCCATGTTCATCTACAGCCCTCCATTCACCTCCATCCACGTCCTGAACCTGATCACCCAGCTCACCTTCGACTACGCCCTGACCAAGTTCTGCGGCGGCTCCCTCCAACCACTCTTCTACCTCCTCCTGAGCTCCTTCCTCGCCGGCTCTCTCCACCCCTGCGCCGGCCACTTCATCGCAGAGCACTACTTCTTCTCCCAAGTTGGCCACGGCACCGAATCCATCCAAGAGCAAAAGAATAACCAAAAGAAGTCTCACCCTCTAGACTCTCTTCCCCCACCGGAAACCTACTCCTACTACGGCCCCCTCAACTTCTTCACCTACAACGTGGGCCTACATAACGAGCACCACGACTTCCCCGCTATCCCCTGGACAAGACTGTACGAGCTCCACCGCATCGCTAGCGAATTCTATGAACCCCTTCCCTGCCATCACAGCTGGGTGTGGGTGATCTGGACGTTCATCCTGGATAAGAACGTCGGCATGTGGTGTCGGGTTAAGCGTGCGCAGGGCGGTCGTCTCGTCGGTGGTGGGGGCGGACGCGCAGGTGAAAGCATCTCGGCTTCGTCGGCTGGTCCGGAGGGGGAATCGGGAGATGGATGGAAGGAGAGTGAGATTCAGAATTGATTTGGATTATCATCTGTTTTTTTCTCTACTACAATGTTGTATGTATCGTGTGTACCGTCCACACGGTACCCTTTGTTTTGTTTTGATGACCTGTGACATACTATACTAGAGATGATATCCCATGGCTTTGTTTGTTTCCATGATGAACTAACTGACTGCATGGTGCTGGTACCTGCTGTCGATTATATGCTGGGATTGACCGACTGATTTTATTTACATGACATGATGTCATCTATCCATCTATCTACCTTCTTATCTTACAAAGTACATGTGACATAGTAGTTGAGTATGGTTTAGATTGTGTATAGTTACTTTAGCAGTATGGGAAAATCAATTATTATTTATTGTGTTTTCATCGCTGAGACAACTTTTCCGACATACAAGTACAAAAAAACGAGCAATGCAATAGACATTTCAATGGCATCATCATGATTAGCTTTACTGCCTGACTGACTGAAACTATGGACGCGTGCATTCGTCTAAACGGTTATGTCGCTGGGAACACAAGACTGGGCAAGAAGACTTGGAAAAGGAAGACAAGAGAATAATAAAGGAGGAGAAGAAACACTGGGATAGATTCAGGGGTTAAGGCATCCGACCAATTGGAAAGTTGCAATGGCAGAGAAGATGGGCCCACGCATGGTCATTCCATGGAACGGACAGAACCGCCCCTGCCTCCCCATCTACTGCATCATCTCATCACAGCCGCCGGGAGCAATTTTCGGACACTGGGGTAAACGTTATGGTGATAGGAAAATGGAAAGGAAGATAAAAGTAAAAAAAGAAAAGAAAGGTCAAGTGAAAGGCCGTACCGAGGTGCCAGATAAGCCAGCTGTGAACGGAGCGGCGAAATGATAAAATAGTAGGTATCACATGGACACCATCATTGCCGATGTCGACAAAGCGGTTGAAGGAAATTGGACACTCCAGAAGAGAATACAGTTGGTTGATAGAAGCGGATGGCGGGTAAAAGATGCTAAGAAAAAAAAAAGAAGTTCAAGCGAGCGCGGAGCACAAAGAAGACGACTCAAAAGACTGAGAAATTAAAAGAAGAAGTATGCGATCAGGAAGCTGAGGAGGCACAAGCCAGCGACCATCTGCACTGGCACGCCTGCCTCGGCAGATTGCGGCTGTTGCTGCACCAATGGCGCCGGCGCCTTTTCGGTTTCACCTCCGATCTTCCGCTGCCTCAGGCCCTGATCTGCCAACTTCTCCTTCAGCGCCAAAATCTGAGCATTAGCCTCGGACAATTGGGCTTTCAGGTCATCGCTTGAACTTGCTGCCCCGCCCATCATGGCCGACTTTGTAGACGTGGCTGGGCTCTCAGTAATCGCTTGTGGGGTCGACACTTCCCGCTTGGGCTTATCGCTGAAATCTGGCGGTGGGATCGGTGACGTGTCGTTAGCGCTTTTAGCAACTGCTGCAGCAGGTGTCTGGAAATTCGCATTAGGAGAGGTGTAGACTGGGGGTTCTTCTTCCGGCATAGTCTGAATAGAACAATTAGTTATCCGATGGCTGGAGAACCGAAAAGGGGTCGGTGAGGGGTTACTTACGCCATTCGATTCGGTGACTTGTTCGGCAGCTGAGGAATCATCTGCAGGCAGCCAGTTCACACGGATCTTGCGTTCTTGAAGCGAAGCCTTGGAAGATTTCTCGAACTATGGGTTATGTTAGATCGCAACCGGTGGGGATCACCATGAAATCAGACTTACAATCGAAGTAACATTGGCAAACTCCATATCGCGAGTGACGGCAACAGTCTGGACTAGGAACTTGTCCTTGCACTTGGCATCATCTGCAGGTTCTTCCTTCATGGCCTGGAGCAGAACTATCGAGACCGTCAGCCATTGCGCAACAGCACCAATCCAACGGAACACCGTTAAACCAACCTTGAACGTCGACATTCTTTCCAGGGTCTATCCGGCCCGAGTTCGGGCGAACACAATAACTATTCCACGTTAGACTGTTGTTACAACGATACTAGTATGTCGAGTGACGAAGGGTTGTGGCCACGTACTGTTTAGGGGCAGTCGTTTTGACCTGGAGGGAAAGTCGTTGTTAGTTAAGGCAATCCAAAGATGTTCAGGGAAGTCGATATAACGAACCTTGAAGACCACCGGCTCAGCGTTGTCATTCTTCAAATGCAAGATCTGGCACACCTCACGATCGAAGGGGCCTGGGGATTTAGTTAGCTTCGGATACTTTCAGGAGGGCAGTATATAGATAGATTCAGGGCACCACGTACGCTTAAATCCCAACTCGGGGGGCTCGAGAATAATAGACATGTTGGATAGAGGGTGAAGAGTATGTCACACAGGAAGGAAAGGGATGCGCGGGTGAAGTAGTGTACAGAAGATGGTCCCAGCAGTGCGGGAGAGGGTGGCCCTTAGAAAGTTAGATTGAGAGTGCGCCGAGGAAAGAGGTTCAGTCGCGAGGGAAGTCAGCAGCAGGGCCCGCCGAAGAAATAGATACCTAACGAAGACTGGATGATAAGGAGGGAACTCGGTCAGAAGTAGTCAACGACAAAGTGGATGCCAACCACGAGGCAGAATGATTAACTGTTCAGGCGCAACTCTCCGTTTCGGGGGGAGCGAGACGGAATCCAGTTGGTCTCGCCGTCGCAACTGCTGGTTGGACCGGGGTGCTGACTCAGCTACGGCCACGGGGGCACTGGTCAGGTGATGTCATCACGGGGTCTGGCAATGGCCGTTTGAGCCTCGTTTCAAGCCAGCAAAGTACCTGCAGGAAGTGCAGGCAATCTGCATCCTCTCCATTTCTGCTCGCTGTCTTCAGGAGCCAGAGATGGGTTACTGCCGAACAACGCTCACTGCGGTCGCTGTCGGCTTCCATTGTCTAGACTCCATCCACTCCATTTGCTCCGTACCTTATTTACTACGGAGTACTCCTGTCGGTTCTGGGTCCTGACTCGGGATCCACTATAATGACATCGTCTAAAAATAATCAATCAAATGGTTCGAGCTAAGTGTCCACTATCTCTAGAGATGGGCGGATGTCTTGCATACCATCAGCCTTCTTTTCTTTTTAGTTTGAAACGGAGATTTTCCAGTTGTCACTTTGCAATAGGGTGATTCCCTCTTTCCAAACACTTTGCCAGCTGGTCAATCTTGAATCACGACGCTATTCATTGACTCAATACGAGGCTATCTTGTCAGTTCGTTTACTGTACAGCTCTATCCAGGCACGCCGTCACACCGAACTTCTGAAGATTAGCAGGTTTCATGGGTACCAAACTCAAATGCTGAAGTGGGCTCTAATGCCAACAGTGATCCTCGATCCGGGGCGCCCTATGCGCTTACTTTCCAGGATTTGCGCCAATCGTGCTGAACAGCTGTTGTTCGCCAGACACCATGCAACCAACAAGCCATAGGTACCCAATCTCCCAGATTGGTTTATGACGGCTGTCAGGCGCCAATATCACACATCTTCCGGAATCCATTGGTCGATCTAACTCATATTGTCTGCTCTATTGTTTCTCGGGGCCTGTTGAGGCATTTTCAGAGTCTCATCATAGATCGGCTCTGTCGGCAATCCAGCAAAGCTGAATGGCAGCTAACCACAGCTTCTTCTTGATCACTGGCAATGAATCGTTTGAGATGACGGGCAAATGAGTGTTTTACAAATTCTGCACGATCTGGAATCAGACGCGACTCCAGTAGCCTAGGGTTTTAAGGGGCGTTCTGTGCTAAAGAAGCTCAACATAAGCGCTGTAGAAGTACGATAATCTTCATATTGAATTTAAATTGTAGAACTACTTCTGTGCGAGTAGTGTCCTGGGAGCGATTTGCTATCTTGTTCCAGCCCGCACCCGCTCGATTTTAGGACCTTGGACATAATATCAATCCTGAACTGGAATCACAAATGTCCACAGACAGTGACTGGAAAAAGAGAAACATGTAGACCTTCTCCAGCTGTACGAGCTCCAGAGAAAGGCTGCAAAGGTCCAGAACATTGGTGTACCTGATGCCGCTTGGGGGCGGCGCCTATCTGGGCGGCGGGACATTCCGCAGCCGGCCATCTATCACTCAGCTCAAGCTATCGATACGTCACCCGCAAGCCCAGCTCTTCCCAACGCTCAAACATTTCCCCACTCTATCGTCGCTTTCTCAAGGCGCCATATTTGACTATAGTTTTCATCAGCACCGGGCGATACCATATTTACAACTCGACCTGTCGGTTACCGAGTAAAGACGATCCCTTTACCCCGCTTTTGAGACTTTACCACCTTACCCCCTCCGAACTCACAGCCAGTATCACCATGGCCTCCTCCGATCTGGACCAGCTCATTGAAATGGGCTTTGACAAGGAAAGATCCGAAATTGCAGTAAAGAAGGGCAACGGCAGTATGTTACTCTCAAGCCCAGCTACAGTGTGTCGGCCGCTGACAGTCTTCTGTAACGCTTTGCAGTTCAAGGTGCTCTCGAATGGCTGGAAGCAAATCAGGACAAGTCACTGGAGGAAATCAAAGAAGAGGAGAGCGAGGAGGGCCCTGCACTTCAGCCGGGAGAGGAAGCTCGCAGCTTGGTGTGCAACGAGTGTGGCAAGAAGTTCCGGAGCCATGCACAGGCCGAGTTTCACGCGTCTAAATCCCAACACGTTGACTTCTCCGAATCGACCGAAGAGCTTGCTCCTTTGACTGAGGATCAAAAGAAGGCAAGGCTCGAGGAGCTTAGACAGAAACTAGCGGAAAAGCGGGCGGGACAGTCAGAGCAGGACAAGATTGACAAGAAGAGGAATGAGGTATGGCTGGTTTCTACTACGATTGGAATTTAATTGCTAATCCTATCCCAGGAAATCCGCAGGAAGGCTACCAAGGATTCCCAGGACGTTAAAGAAGAACTCCAGCGAAAGCAAGCGCTGAAAGAAGCTGAACAGAAGAAGAAGGAGAAGCTAGCAGACATCGAGGCCAAGAAACGCGTCAAGGCTAGAATTGAAGCTGACAAGGAAGAGCGGCGCCTGCGAGCTGAACGAGAGAGGGCTGAACGTGCCGGTGTAGCACCCCCTGCTCAGCCTGCACCAGCCCCGGCGGCCACCACGTCTGGTCCCGTTGCCTCGAAGCCCGCTTCGGCCTACACGGAAACCCGCTTGAGATTCCAGACATCGAAGGGAAATATCATGAAGACTCTCCCAGTGACTACCACGCTCTTTGAGGTCGCAGCAGCTCTGCAGCGGGAGGACGGAATAGAAGTACACAGCTTTGCGCAGAACTTTCCCCGGAAGGTCTTCGATGCGGAGTATTTCGGCGAGTCCCTGAAGGACCTGGGCCTGATCCCTAGCGCAAGTCTTGTTGTCCAGTGATTGCGCCTATATGGTGCTTTTGGGCGGAGCCAATCGAGAGCTTAAATGACGATATCCAACAAATCACCAAATACGTGGTGATGAGGTTCGTAATGATTTTTTTGTGCCTTAAAAGCAAGGCTCGCATGAAGAATGTTATAGAATGCCAGCATCGCATTGGCACAGCACGGAAGCTGAGAAGTGACCGAAATAACGATAAGCATAAATCTAGCTTAGAATTTACCTTATCGATTCTGGACCTCTTAACTCCTGTTCATCAATTTCAGTAGATTAGGCAGTCATTCCATGAGCGATACATTACAGGCAGCTATATCATCACGTGATGACGTGATAAGGCGTGTCGGCATCGATCACGCGTCGACACGCCTAGAGCTAGCATGTTTGCTTGTCATTCACTGATTAACTGTCCCACTGGTGGCTTTCAATGACCGCCCAGTTTGATAAGACACTATCTTTACTATAATAATGCCCGCGTAAGTAAACTCGGTGGCCACGTTTCCTCTCCTCCCTCATTCGCCCCAAAGGTTAACCGCGTCTCTAGTGTTGGCGACCAGCACCGAGGGAATCCAGCGTCCATCATGATGCCCAACTCCACTGGAGCGATCACCACGAATCCATTCGAAGAGCCACAGCGACGAATTAACGAGTACACTGCCCAGGAAATCGCGACTTTGCAAGCTCGTCTCGATAAGAAGCTCGGTCCCGAATACATCTCTTCCAGGCCTGGGGCTGCGGGCCAGAGAGTACACTACCTGTCGGCCGATAAATGCATCAACCTGGCAAACGAAGTTTTCGGGTTCAATGGCTGGTCAAGTTCGATTCAGAATATTCAGATTGACTTCGTTGAGGAGAGCCCGAATACTGGGAAGATCAGCCTCGGTCTTTCTGTCATTGTGAGAGTGACTCTGAAAGACGGCACATATCACGAGGTAGGCATCACTGTGTTGCAGCGAGCTCGTCTAGGTCTTGACGCTAAGTCTCGAGTGGTACTAGGATATCGGTTACGGTCACATCGAAAACTGTAAAGGAAAGGCTGCTGCTTTCGAGAAGGCTAAGAAAGAGGGGACAACCGATGCTCTAAAGCGGGCTCTGAGGAACTTCGGCAATGTCCTGGGCAACTGTGTCTACGATAAGGACTATGTCTCGAAGGTCACCAAAGTAAAGACTGTACCGGTATGTGGCCATTCTGCGGGCACTCGATTCACGACGACTGACTCTCTCTAGGCTAAATGGGATGTCGACGAACTGCACCGTCACCCAGACTTCGTTCCCAGGAAAGAGCCCGTAAAACCAAAGCCCAGTCCCGAGGACGATGATCTGCCACCTCGGCCAACGGACGTTGGCAAGAACAGTAGCCTCGACGACTCAATGACATTTGATGGCGACGGGGAGTTCGGAAGTAAGTACAATGACATGTCACGATCGCTCACAACCGCTAACCTTCTCTTTAGGTGACCTATTCGATGAAGCCGACTTTGGGGTAGGCGGATCTGGCAACCCAGACGAGGTAGTACTAGGACCAGAAACACAGAAGCAACCACCGACGCCTCTGAACGGGCCCAACGTACCTCGACAGCCATTCAATAACAACGCTCGTGCACCAATGAGGCCCAACCCAGCCATGGTAACGCCATCCAAGCCAGAACGGCCCTTCAACCCAGCACCCGGTGCCAGACAAAACCCCGCTCCCCAGCCCTTTAACAGCAGACTCAACCCTTCCGCAGCCCAGAATCAGCCCGCACCTCAACGACAATCCATGCCTCCTCAAGCTCCCCAGCAAAACCTCCCCAACAACCGGATGGTCCCACCAGCACAAGCAGCCGCCGCCGCATCAAACACAAGTGGTGCCGTGCCCATCAAACGTGAATTCGGGGCACCCACCACCAACGAACCCCCCAAACCCCAAGACACACTTCCCGGCACGCCCTCCGCATCATTCTTCTCAGCTCGCGCAGTCGACCTCCTCCGCGATAACCCTAACGGGATCCCATCCGGAGCCCCAGTCTTCGACCCCCACGCGGAGAGTCCCTCCATCCGCAAGACCGCAGGCATCGACCACAACAAGAGCCTTCCAGTCTCCAGACCCATGCTCGCCGGAACCGGTGCCGCCTCCCCAGCAACAAACAACGCCCGGGACTTCGTCAACCCCTCCCAAGATATGAACCGCAGGATCGGTGCCCCGGGCATGAACAGCCCCATGAGCAGACCTATGACCACATCATCTTACCGGCCCTTGACACGGCCCAACATCAATGCGCCAGGCGCAGCTGCGGCCGCCAATCGTGCATCTACGCCGGGTCTTGCACCGCAGAACATGAACGGAAAACGGCCCCCCTTGTCTGATGTGACGAATGCCTCGAACCCGAGTGGTGGCAGCGGGCCTGCTCCACCGGTAGGCGTTGAGAACGACCCGAAACGACCTAAGATTACCCCGGGTGGTGCTGCTGCGCCAGCGCCGCCGCAACAGCCGCAGCAGCAGCAGTGATGATATGCTGCTATATTACAATATCATTTATGATAAGGTCCAGTCTCGGTATTCTTACAATGCGTTATATCTATTCATAGGCACGGCGTTCAGGGATGGGGAATGGAATGGATATTGGCGGGATGGTATGGATGTTGTATCTTTTGACATAAGATGGTTGAGCTAGCTTGTATCAAACTTCTTGACCATTTTCTTCTACTTTTATAGTGACGCGAATATAATCTACCTAGATTAGCCGTATTCTTTCTTACCTTAGTTGAACCGAAGTACATGAGCCACAAGACACTTACGTAGCTACATCAAGTGTTGACACTAGTACTATAGAGCAACCCACTCCTGATCTATTCTAGCCAAGCAAAATGATAGCAGCAACCACTTCCTTCTACCCTAGTCCCTAGTTCCCATCTAACCAACCAACCTAGCAATCAATCAAAGAATACCTACAAATTCCCCCTCCCCTCCTGCTCCCTCTCAGACGCCTCAAACAAACTCCTGAAATTCCCCGCCCCAAAGCCATCAAACCCTTCTCTCTGAATAATCTCCAAAAGCACCGTCGGGCGATCCACCACATGCTTCGTGAAAATCTGCAGCAAATACCCACCCTCGTCGAAATCAATCAATATATTGTATTTCTGAAGCAGGTTGATGTCTTCGGCTAGGGTTATGTTCGCGGATGCGAGGCGCGTGCGCATGTTGGCGTAGTAGGTGTCTGGGACGGAGAGGAAGGATACGCCGCGGGTGGTGAGGTTCGCTACGGCTTGTAGGATGTTCGGGGTGAGGAGGGCGATGTGTTGGCAGCCCGGGCCGTTGTAGTATTCTACGAATCTGGGAAATTTTAATCAGTAGTCCGGGGAGAGGGGCTTGTTGGAGAGAACGAAAGGGAAAGTGGGGGGAGGGTATGGCGTACTCCTCTATTTGGGACTTTTTGAGACCGGTGGCGGGTTCGTTCATGGGCATTTTTATGATTTCGTTGGGCGAGGCCATTACGATGGAGCGCATTGCGGAGTATTGGGAGCACATATCCTTGTCGTCGACGGTCCAGTAGCGGTGGAGGTTTAGGGCGTCTTCGTAGCTGGTGGTTGTGTTAGTGTATAGTATGAAAGGTGTTATGGGGATGGGAGGTGATGCTTACTACTTCACAATGCTGTCTAGGCCATTCCAGCCTTGATTGCCCACGCAATGGTCGATTTCGATCACGTCAATCTCGGGAAGTAGATCGTTCAGTCGATCCTGGCCGGATACGGCTTGGTATCCGGGGAGGAAGATCCCTTGATACGCGGATCTGTTGATCAGCGTATGTGCTGTGTCGCCGTAGGTCTGGATCGTGGCGGAACGGACCTCGCCGCTGTCATCTTTGAGGAGTTGTGGCTCCTGGATGGAGATGGCACCGTGCTGGATGGCGTGTTCCCAAACACCAGTGACATCGTCGACGGCGAACGCAATGTCTTTGACGCCATCGCCATGCTTGGTGAGGTGTGCATGGATTTCATCCAACTGCTGACGGTCTGCTCCTGAGGCCCGCTTGTCCCAGGTGTTGTTGGGAGAGGTGATGGGAGCCGTGAGAACGAATCGGGCGTTTCCGTTGGCGATAACGTACGAACAGCTTAGGTGGGAGCCCGTTTCTGGTCCGCGGTAGGCAACGATGCGGAAGCCAAATTGGGCGACGAAGTAGGTCGCTGCTTGACGGGCATTCCCGACATACCATCTAATGTGGTCGAAGCCCGTATAGTTGGGATTGATGTTGCGAAGTATGGCATTATTGCCTGTCTGTGATTGACTCTCGTTGGACGGCATGATGAGGTCTTGAGTATACTGATGCTTTGGTTGCACGACTTGACAATTTTAGTTTTGAGATGCTGTGATCGCGTCACATATTCAGGTATCTGCCACGTTCTGTTAATGCTGGGTTACGTATACATGCTCTCCGCCTGTAGGAATGCAGACCTGTAGGTGCATGCATCGCCGCAGTCAAGTTTATCAAGGGTGACGCAAGATCAGCCTTCTTTGTATGCGCGATGAAGTGCTGTTGGCTTGGAGTACGACTGTAGCACTGACTCGTCTAGTTCTTGGCCGCTTCACTGAGATTTTCAACATATGATAGTGTCGAGAGTATATTCGCTTTTTGTACCTTGCGCCGAGTAGAATCTCTTTATCATCGGGAGGCAGATCAAGAGAGGTGTGACATGCAACGCTCGTCACATCCGTCCGGCTAGGATCTTGATTGTGACGATATAATGAGTGTGCTGTTGATCATCAAGATTAGGTTTGGATCCAATCACGGAGAAACAAGTTGCCAGCAGCCTTTAAACTGGAGGCTCAAATCACGTCCTTCCTCATGTATACTCCCAAACCTAAAACCTGCGTCACGTAAGCATGGCCGAGCAAACACCGGCCGAGGACGAACTTCAGCCATCTCAGCTTAACAGGGAAGCATCCGTATGATATGACGCATAACAATGAGCAACACATGGCGCAGAAGATAACCATGTCCTTCTGTAAGTAGACAACCGGGGACACGGCCCATGGAGCATCGTGCCCCAGTCAAGAACTAGTCCTGCACATGCAAGTTCCCAGACTCGACCCCTGAAAGGCACGATGACTGCCGACATGACCAGTCACTTCATAGTGCAAATGCGTGCTGCCACCGCAGGCACGTACTATTGTTGCGCTGTCCTACCTTGCACTAGCCACGCGCAAAGCATTGCATGAATAAATAAACCCACTTACTCCAATAGTAT